TATTTCCCTACCATTCTAAAGGCATTCTATATAGAAAAGGGAATCGGAACTGATGCTGGAACTTGTTCTTGTACTCACGTCTGTCTTGGTGTCGCTGCTGACATTGTTGTTGTTGTTACTGTTGTTGTTGTTATTGTGTTGGGGGCTGCCATTGGCCCCATTGTGCGGCATTGTCTTTAATTCCATGTTGCAAGGCGAAATTCACGTTTGCCGCCCGAGCAAATTCTTCTTGTAATTGTTTTGATAATTGTTAATTGTTAATTTTGTTTACAATAGTTATATATATTTATAATTTCGTAACGCACTGCTGAACATTTAATTAAGCGAAAATTAAAAACAAAACCAAAACAAAAAAAAAATATATATATATATATATATAAAAATTAATGCAATTACCACCAGCGCCGCGGCAGAGTTAATAAAATTGTTTAAATGGGCTTTTTAACTAGTGCCAAGCGACTGCATTAGAGCGAGAGCACGAGCGCGAGCGTTAGCGAGAGAGGGGAAGGGAGAGAGATGGAGATAGCGAACAAGTAGTACCAAAGGCCGAGTCACGCTAAATTTTGTTGGAAATTGTTGAGGTTGAGTTGTGATGCCGTGAATGCCACGGCTAGAACTGAGGCGGCGTCGAGCTTTGAGCGCTTTAAGAACCATCAGCCAGCAGCTACGCTAAAAACGATTGTGTGTAGGTACACAGGTACACATAGGGTAGACAGGTAGGTACACAGGTGGACTGCGACAGCAGTCGTAGCGCCTATATGCCTATAAAGCAGCCGTTCGAGCGAACCCAACTAAATACTTTAGGTACATGGGCAAAACTTTGGCACATCTTATCCCATACCATTGTCATTGCCATCATTATGATCGTCATTATCATATACATCAGTTAGGTACAGGTTGGTCCCTGCATCGCCCTCAATATGATCTATTTTCCCTCCACAGCTAGCAGCACCCACGCAAGCAAGAGAGCGAGAGAAAAGACAGAGAGAGAGTGAGAGAGAGAGCGAGAGAGAGAAGGGGGGAAGAGATCCAGCGCGGGAGCATTTAAGCTACAACCAACTGTTGTTAGGATTATTGGGGGTGAGGTGAGGTAAGTTAACACAACAAAGCAAAGCGACAATTGACGCATTTCCGCATTGAGGTATGCTCGACTGATGAATACCCCTTAATCAGATGGCAACTGGCATAAACATAGGCATCGACTAATGGATACCTCTCAGTCTAAGTGGAGCTTCAACAATACTAATCAGACAAACTTGGCATCTCTTACTTACATGATCGACTGTTAGATACCCTATGCTCAGCTCTGTTATATACTTACGTATATAGACTTATACAGTCTTATGTAGAGCTATAGCTTACATTTAATGCTAGAACATGATCAACTACAAAGTACCCCAAACTTTTATAATTATTAAACTCTTATTTATATACACAATGTCAAATAAACACTTATTTAAGAGTATAAATTGAAATCTCTTGCCGGACTTTGAGATATCCTGTACTCATGTTAGGTATGTATATCCAAGCTAAAAATGCGGTATGTAAATTGAAATTTAAATTAAAAGCAAAGTATTTTATGTTTACAGGGTATACAAAATGAATGATTCAGATTTATATTATGTATTCTTATGTTTACAGGGTATGTAACATTTGATTTTAAGTTTATATAACTTCCTATGTAAATTCCTATTACAGGGTATACCATATACAATTGTAAATTTATATTCGAAAGTAATGTTTCAGCGTATATTATATATTGAAGCAGCAATTAATCATTCTAATGTTTATTGTTTTTTAGTCTTTAGTTTTACGTTGTAATTTAACATTCTTATAGCCCATATAACATTTATTTCTCGATGTATGCTATAAATTATAATAGATATATTAAGAATTACAGGGTATACAAACATCGTTATAAGCTCTTATGTTTCCAAGATATACAAAATTTCTGGTTATTCGGTATATTTTTAAATTATAATTGAAATGTTTCAAATGTTTAAAGGGTATACCAAATACAATTATGTTTGATTAATATTCAATAGTAAATAGAATAATCATACTATCCAGAACATCCAAATGAAAGTCAAGTGTCTAGCGTTTGTTCAGTTTGCTGTAGTTAGGGTCGATCGTCGTGCTGTGTGCCACTAGATGTCAGATACATTTTGAAGCTAATTCCCAGATAAAACCATGATGCAATGGTGAATACCCAGTCAATTGAAATATTACCCCTCGACAGACGAAAGCAATAAACCCGTTCTCTCTCTCTCTTCGACAAATCGCACTGCATGCGTGTTTCCAGGGAAGTACAGAACCGAAAGAACTTGCACACAGCATTGTAAAAACCGAGCGTTGCCGTGATCTATTAAGCATTTCAGATTGATTTGAACGAGAACTCTATCCTTAGAAGAAGCAAAACTATATAGCTATATAGCATATATTGTTAAATATTTGTACACATATCTGATTGCCCTCTCTAAAGATATCGATGATAAATGAGGCCACAAACTCTTTTGAAGAACATCGAGCTTTTGTCACTGCTAAAGGTTATAAATTGACACAAATAAGCTTGTTCTAGTCGGGAGTACCCAGCTGGAAGATACCCTGGAACAGGCATTTTAGTCTCTCGTTAACACATGCATGAAACACAACAGATACACGCACACACACACACACACATACACACATACACACATGCACACGCGCTGCAGCTACGCTTATTTAGAGTTTACTATGGGAACTTGTGAGTTAAATAACTTTTGTTCCGCATAGACTTTCCTAACGCCAATTTCAGAGTGTAATAATAGCTTACAAGATTACATATGTTTATGTTCACGCACAAGTCGTTACAAGTCGTGATATAGGTGCTTGTGAAATATGACATGGTGAAGGGGGGAAGACATCCAAAATCCGGAATGCTAAAATATAACTGTCTATACAGAGCAGGAATCCACACAGAAAATTTGAAATCTCTAGCGCTTATGGTATTCAGGCTAAGCTTAAAAACAAAATCAATTCATCGATTACTAACGATAGCTTGTTATCGATAAATCAGGATAAGTTTATATAGAATATGATTTAAGGTAATATACAGTCCATACATAGTTGCAGCTTATTAGCTCAGTTCCACGTCCTTTACGGGCGCTGCCACGCCTCCAACCGCCCCTCACATATTTGCAAAAATAGAAAAAACAAATATATATATATATATATTTTTTTTAGATTTTTCAATAGTTTTTATTTTTCATATAGTTGCTTTAATTTTTATATTTAGTTAATAGCTAAATTTTTTTGTAAATTATTTTCACTTGAATGTGTCTATAAATTAAATCTTATCTTTTATTTATCGTCTCAGCATTATTAAATTAAAAAACGAAAAAATAATATATATATATATACGTATATATATACATATATATAAAATAGAAATAGATAATGTAACACGATAACTAGATGTGAAATTTACGATTTAATATGTGCTCTACATCAAGTTCTTATCCATGTCAATGTATGTGTCTGTGTGTGTGTCTGTGTAGGTGTGTCTGCGTGTTTGTTTATGGTCCGCTAAGCTGTTGATTAACAATTTTACAACTGACGAATTTATACAACGTGAAATCAATAATAATAAAAACTAGAAGAAAAAAAACGGTGACAATCATTAATAATCATAATAATAATGATAAGAATAATAATAATAATAATAATAATCATAAGTAGTATGTAATTCATTCACATACATATTTCTAACATAATAAGCTAGCATACGAAGTATTTTATTTAATCAGAAATCAGACAGTGAAAAAACAATTATCAAATTATCTTTTACAGTTCTATCAAAATTTGCACTACAATTGTTTTTTTTTTTTTTTTTTTTAATTTTTGACATTTTTTTCAATTTTTTTTTTTTTAATTTTTATATTTTTAGGGAAAAGCTAAATCATAAACAAACAAAAAATGATTAAAATATATATTTATATATATATTTTAATTTAAATATAATTAGAACGAAATTATGCGCCAAGTCTTATAAGTATATACATATACATAGGAATATATATATATATACGTTCATTATATAGTATAAATATCAACACTTGTACGTTGTTTTCTATTTCTTAACGATTTTTTAAAAATTAATAAGCCTTTTGGCAGAACGAATTTAATTGCAATTCAAATTTGAAAATAAAAAAAAATCCGTTAATAAATATAGCATGTTGTGTGTGTCTGTTTTTGTGTGTGTGTATGCGTAGGTGTGTGTATGATTTGATATACATATACATATGCAACGCTTATGCTAGCAAAAAACAATTAAAATTATAAATTTACTTCTTTACTTTCTGCTATAGAGACACACGCATAGCACATCATTTGTTTCTGTTTTTGTTTCTTTGAAATACATATACAAAAGGCATATTATATAAATAACATTTGAATTTCATCATTTAGATTTGACTCTGCGAGTTTTTTTTTTTTTTTTTTTTTTTTTTAGTTGAAGCAATTGTCAAACTATATTCGACTTCTATATAGATCGTTATATATATATAACTGTGAGTTTTGTTGTTGTTGTTGCTGTTGTTGCTTGTTACAAATTGCTTTAGTTAAGTGTTGTTGTTGGCATTTATGTATTTACACGAGAGACTATGATATTGCAGAGATCGATCTCTCTCCCCTTTTCTTTCTCTCTCTCTCTCACTGTCTCACTCTCTTCTCATTATTTATTGCTAAGAGGACAAACAATTTCCGTTAACCGATTTGTTTGTTGTATTAGTAAAAATTTGTATAGGCTGCGGTGTAAGTCTTTTTTTTTTCATCTAAACTTTCAGTTAATATATCCTTTTTTTTTAATTTTTTTTCTTTATTTTTTGTTTGTTTTTGTTAAAAAAAATAATACACATTTGTGAAATATGCTTGTACTATTCATGTTAAATACACAATACAAATCAAAATTAAAATCATAAATAAAAAAAATTAACGGTAATTAATGACTTTTTTTTTTTTTATTTTACTTTAAAGAGAATCGATAGAGGAAAGCGAAACAAAATACATTATAATTATATACAACATGATTTTGTGAAATAAAGAAACCTAACTGTGCATTAGGCTAGTTGAGAGTTTACTTTATATTTATATATATGCATATATATATATATTTATATATCTTGTTGTATACTTCATATAAAGTATGTTCGCATTTACTCTTCTCTTTATTTACGTAGATATATATGGAAATAAAAAAAAAAAAAATCTATTTACACTAAGTAATATTACTTATATTCTGAGTATGGTAATATCTGAAGCGTTTCGTTGGTTTTGATGTGTTTGAGTGCGTGTGTATGTGAGTGTGAGTGTGAGTGTGTTAGTGTGCGTGGCTCTATGCCCAACAGATTTGACGCCAATACATTCTCATTCTCTCTGTGTTGTACAGTGCACATTCCTTAACATAACTCAACCAATCGAAACTCCCCATTCTTAGGACTATACACATTCGAAACTAATCTAATTAGTTAGTTTAGTTTACTTTAGGATTAGTTTTAGTTTTTAGTTTAGTTTAGTTGTTTAGTTAAGTTGCCTATATGCGGAGATCAGCTATGGATCAGAGCACAACAAACAAATCGAAGAGGCATTCGCAACTAAAGCAACAAACAAAAAATTATTGCTCATTTTGTTTTTTCATTTTTTTGAAACGCCTTTTGTATATGAACGATCATTGGATATGAATGTATATATATATTTATGTATATATATAGCCTGTGTCTGTGTGTTTGTGTATTTGTGTTAACAATGCGTTACATGTCTGCATATAAGTGTGTGTGTGTGTGTGTGTTGTGTTGTGTTTTGTATTTATAAATAAATACGGACTCAGTCGCGTTCTACAACATTTTGCATTTTAGAAGCTTATTCCACCAGCACTTTGAGACTTCCAACGTTTAGCTGCTGATTCTTGTTTGTTGATGCTGTTGTTGTTGCTATTGTAGTTGTTGTTGTTGTAGTTTCCTATGTGTTAAGTTTCATTGTTCATTTGGGCTTGTTAGTCAGGCATCTCGACCCATTTAGCGAGATTTCTGGCGACAATTTCCTTATTGATAAAAATTATGTTCTGCAAATGCAATAAACAGAAAGGCAATTAGTCAAATATGTAGAAAATAGAATAATGCAAAACGTATTTCAATTATCGATAACGATACAACGTTAACACCACAACTCAGTAAGAGAGCGTTTCAGCTATCTCGCTTTAACTGCAATTCAGTCTATCTCGCTCGCTCACACTTGCCATCTCTTTCATTGTGGTGCAGCATTTTACTTACGTTTGGACCTAGAGAAGCAAATAAATAGATTTCTGGTATATTATGGCTATTATAGCCGGCGACTTGTGCTTGCAAGACAATGCCTTTGGTTAATTTGCTGAGGATATCGGCCGCATCAACAGACCAGGTCTCATCTGTATACAGAAACAATTGATTAGACATACAGATTGTTGCATATTAGAATCCATATGGAATACTTTACCGATTGGCTCGACATTGGACAGTATGCATTCGGTTGCCTGGAAAGGCAACGTCATAAAATCTGTGCGTATCTGACGCAATACACTAAAGCTGACATTCATATAGCCGCCAAAGTCCAAGAATTTGACCACGCAGCGCTCCTCGACATCGTTGGGATCGTTGTCCACGATTTGCACGCGATACCAACCGCCATTGATGGGCAACACACAGACGGCGCTGATCTCGATGCTCGGCAACTTGGGCGCCTCCATGCTCGAGTAGCTGTCGAGCATGTTCTTCTGCAGTGCGTGTAGCGATGGGTGTGACGGATGCAGCGGATGCTGCACGAACACATGATTGCCAGAGAGCACTGCGGTGACGGACACATCATTGTTGATGCCCTCGATCAGGTTTAGCTGCGAAATTGGTAAGAATAGGCGCATTTAATATGTGATAGGAATCGAAGTTCGTTAAATATCGATTAGTTATCGATAGTGTTACATTACTTTTACGTTTTGTTCACGTTTTTGGCTGAACTATAGATAGCTTTCTAGGGATGTTACAAAGTTTTGTGTAGACAAGTCGTATGTCTAAATGGATCGATATGCATTCGATAAATAATTGCATTGATCGTTTTTATAAACAATCTTAATCGATTTTGATTGGTTGGCAGCTTAGTGTATCATATATTGTTCAGTATCCAGCACTCATTTGGTTGAGTTGGTTATGATTATATTTTACAAATCGAAGCATTTGCTAGCTGAACGATATACACTATATTTTGTAAGCTTCATTTTGTTATCAATGTACCGCTTGAAGCCATTTATCGATTTACTTTGCAATAGTGAACTGTTGACAGTGTGACTGTTATCGATAACATGTGTATACTTCAATAACTCATGCGAATCATTTTGTAAGTACGCTTAATCGAGTTACTCATTGGAATTGCAATAATTATCAATCAACCAATCTAGATACAGTTCATGCTATCGATAAAACATCCCTATAGCGTATATAAGAATATGTATGTAATTCAATACATGCATAAAACTCTCCCTCTATGTTTGCAATATGGAGGGGTACAGATCGAGACTGGCAGAATCTGTCTTCAACTCACTTGTAAGCTATGGAGGCTTTCAGTCGACAGAGGAACTATGGATTGCGGAAGCGCATAGTGAATTCTTTGCATTGTGAAATTGGGATAGCGTCTGGATGGCAAACGCTGGCGTATCATGGCCAGCGCGGCGTCGATCTCACTGTCGGTGCCTTCGATGGTGCAAATGCGCAGCTTGCCGGATGAGTAGCGATTCTTGCTCAAGCTGACATTGGCCAGAGTCTTCGACTTGATTTTATTGATGAACGTACGCTTGCGTCCATATAGCTGGCCAATCAAGCTATTTGGAAAGAAGAAGCGATACGAGCTCTTCACGCGTGACGTTGCCTCCGATCGCGGCAAGCTGGAGCCTTTGCCCGAATCGCCAGATTGTACGCTGCAAATGCTCAGCGATGGACTGGCTGCATCCACGTTGCGCTTCTGATTGCCATTGGCTGCATCATCAAGGGCATCCGAATCAGCAGCACCAGCAGCAGCAGCGGCTTCAGTGGCAACTTCAGCGACAACTTCAGTGGCCACCTCAGTGGCAGCCACAGTGGATGCAGCTGTCGAATTCTCATTCAAATCCACATGCTTGGCCACAATCGTTTGCTCCTCCTCAGTCTGTTTGATCTGTGCTTCAGCTGTGCTCTGTAGCTGTGTCTTTTTGACCGGCTCTATTGGCTGCTCCACGGCGGCAACGGGATTCTCCTTCACCTCCTTCTGCTCCTTCACCTCCTCCAGCTGCTGCTTCTTGATCTTGTCAGCATCAGCTGCAGTTGGATTTGGCTCACAGTTGTTGTTCTGCTCGCATTCCTTGGTGTATTTGCTCTCGAGAAATGAATTCTCTGGGGATATTTTTGGTGTGCGCGTTGCTTTGATGACCACTGGCTCTTCTTTCTTTTGGCTAGTATTCCGATTGTAGAACGAGACGCGATTCTTCGATATAGAATCCGGCAAATCTCTGGGCGATGACAGATTCTCAAAGTCCTCGTCAATGGAGCAGAGCTTCTTATGCTCTGCATCTTGTATCTTAGACTTTAGCATTTCCGAATCGATCTGTTGCTGCTGATGCTTGCCCGGGGAAGCGCGTCCATTGCTCTGTATTGTGATTGGCGCCGATTTACCATATAGCATGGTATTTGGGCTCTCCTTATCATACTCCCCATTGTTCAACACTGATCCATTGCCCACACTGATGCTCATCGACTTGGAGGCACCAGTACCAGGTACTGCTCCATTTCCGTTGCCCGCAGGCAGCTTGCCATTTTGGGACTGGATGCCATTCGCTGTTTTGCGCTGTGTTCCCGGCTCGATGGCCTCTTTGATCGGCTTTCCATTGGCAGCGGCGCCATTGGCATCGTCATCGTTTTTATCAATACGATTTTTATTTCTACGCCGAAACCAAAAGACGCCGAGTATAAATGCTACACCGGGCAGTGAGAGATAGAGTAGAGGACGACCGGATACCATTTTCGCTGAATATTGGAGAATCTGCAAATAAATTCAAGTTGGCTTCGATTAATAATCAATAAGTATTTGACTGAGAGCTCAAAGACTTTATGATATACACAGAGCAAAGCGTTACTAATGAAGCTCCTCAGAATGAAACGGAAACTTTTATTGATGACAGCAAAGTCAATGCAATTCTAGTTCCAGCAATAGCATCAACAAAGCCCTTTACTCGACTGGAAAATTCTCTGCTTAGCCAGAACTGTTATTCTACTACTCTTGCCAAAGCAATCCTCAGAAAGCATGTCTCAGATTCGCCGGGAGCCCACACAAAATCTGAGTAGCCATCGCAGTGATTTGTCTAGACAGTAAATTCGATATATTTCGCGCTTCTCTGGGATTCAAGTTACGTTTAAAATAATAAGGAAGTGGAAATACAGATATATTTATAATAAGCTCGTATTGTATATATAATTTGAAGCTGTCGATTGGCTAGCTACCAGAGCCCTGTGCTCATGCGGATGGGCAGACGAACATGACTCTAATTGCTCAGCTTGTCGCCCTGATCAGTGTGAATGTATATATATGTAATTTGGTCTGAATGTTTACTCGATTTGATTTGATTTGTCAAGCTTCCTTCTGCCTGTTACATGCAATATGCCAAGATCATAAACATTTTCAATGAGTTCAGGGAGTAGCAATATGAGTAAGTTCTTTCTCCCTCTGCCATCTCCCTAAGCATAATCATGAATGCAAAACAACTTGAGGGAACTTTTAGAAAGGTATTGGAACGCTTAAGAATGCGAAATGCATAATGAAGTGGAGAGAAAAAGCAAGAGCAAAAGGAACATGGAAATATTTAACAAATTTGCGTTAGTCATATGAATATATATATATATATATATATATATATATATTTATATATATATATATATATATATATATATATATATATATATATATATATATATATATATATATATATATATATATGTGTGTACTTTTTAGACCTTTATTAGTTTGAAATGCTGCATAAAGTCAATTTGTTTGGGTCGCGACCATCACGAGACCCATTTGGCATCCACAACCAAGTAGATATGTGTGAGTGTGTGTGTGTATGTGTGTATGTGTATGTGTGACGACGTATTTATAGCAAAAATACGTAATTATAGAAAAATCATTCGAATAGCGACGCGCAGAGCAAATAAGGTGCAAAGCAGAATTAGAAGCAGAATGCCACGCGGAAGCCAACAAGCAAGAGTGGGAGAGCGAGAGCGAGAGAGAGTGAGCGCGCCGCGCACACACATACGTTTAGCGTGCAGATCGAGCAAAGGAGCGAGCGAGCGAGAGCGTATTGTGCGTCTCACTTGCGCGTGCGCTGAGTGTCAAGTGTGAAGAAAAAGCCGCAACAACAACAACAAAAGCAAACGCAAGCAGCTTTCGGCTAACTAAAGAACAACCATAAGAACAACAACAACAACAACAACAACAACAACAACAGCAGCAATGACAACAACAAGCATTACGCTTACGGCAATTGTTATGAAATCGTTACAAAACAAACGTTGCTAAAAAACTAATAAGAACAAATGAAAATCAAAATAAATAGAAAATAAGATAAATATATCAATACACATCAAATGACTTTCAAACGTTAAAACAATAACAAAACCATAAATTGAAACATTTTGGAATCACCTTTACTAATTTGCCACACTGTGCACACTGATTGTCGAATTTTCCAAATAAAGTCAAGTAGAAAAAAAAAATAAATAAATAAAAACAATAAAAACTCTATCAAACACACGCACACTCGAAACTTATTCGTTCGTTATTTTCGTAGGGAGTTTAAAACTTCATTCTTTTGTATAAATTTATTTTCTTTTTAATATTTGTTTGCTTTATTTGCATTGAACTTTTCGCTGGGTTTGTGTTTACTTCGCTACTCGATTATAACTCAATTTGCGTTTATTTATCTATATTTGATTCGTTGATTTGATGCCGGCGTTGCGACTCGTCGAATTCGAGCTTTATGTTTTTTCTAGGTTCTATGCGTATCGCCGCCGTGCGATGATAGCGCCTCGATATACAAAGGGAAACTACCCAAAAGCGTTTCACAGTTGTTTTTTTTTTTCTCTCCTCTTTTTTTATTTCGCCACCCCCTCCATCCCCCCGCTAGTGTGTGTGTGCTAAGATGAGGATCGTGTGATTTGCTTCGTTTTTCTATTTATTATTTCTAGCGAGACATTTGCCATTTGTCGATTGTTGCCGAAAGCAACCCAAGCCACCCAAAACCACCCACTCTGTTAATAGACGCAACTGCAGTGTCAACAGCCTCAAAACAAAAATTCGATCAAAAATTGAACAGACAGAGAGACAGATAGACAAATAGACAGACAGATAGATGGATAGACAGATAGCAAAGAGCGCCCTTCGTCAAAGCATTTCAATGAGGCATTAAAAACGTTAACCTCGCTCTCTTTAGTGTGCTCTCTCACTCCCGCTCTTTGTTTCTTGGGCAAACCTGTTGCCCTGCTGCCGTGTGTATGTGTGTGTTTGTGTGTGTGTGTGTCGATGTCTCTGTTGTTTATAGGCAAAGCTAGACGCTGGACACACACACACACGCATTAATTTACAGAGAGCTGGTTTCGTCACCATTGATAAGCCCTAATCATAGAACACAGGCACAAAGGTCATCATCATATTAGAACTGAACGATCAGGGCGCACAGTTGTGAGAGGTTGTCCATCAACTGTTGGCACATTTTGCATTTGGCGCAGTGTTGCCACCTGGACAAAGCGGGCGCACTCTTCAGCACTTACACATGTATGTGAAGTATGAATGCCGTTAAAAATGCGAAACTCTTATACATGTTGGCCTGTATGAGTGTGTATGAGTGTGTGTGTGTGTGTGTCTATGTGTTTTGCGTGTGCGTGTGTTTTGCCTATGCAAACAAAAATATTTGACGATTGGCGCTTGACTTTGAACTTGCAGAAGGTGCCAAAAGCACGTTACAATTAGTTGGCAGTGTTTTAGTAAAATTCCAGTTTATATTTGTATTATGTATGCACATTAAAATTTAGTGTTTGACAGTTGTTAAACCAGCCACGGCTGAAAGCCAAGGCCTATGGATTGTATTCAACTCGTTATCACACACTCACACGCATACACGAAGGGTGGTCGTCTACGTGTATGAGCAAGTGAGAAGGCGATTTTCGTCTATTAATACATACACACACACGCACTCAAATTCAATAAACGGCCAAAAGCCAAGTGCAACAACGATCTGCTTTACTTTTGGCCTAAGAGTTGGCACCCTGCCCCCACCCCCTTCCCCTTGTCCATTTGCTCTAGTCTGGCAACGTGGTTGGCGATCATATGCTCTGCGACAACAACGACGACGACGACAACCACGGCATTTTTTTTTTGTAGAAGTGTATTGTATAATCGTGAAAATGTGTGATATTTTGATTTGGCTTTAGTTTTTTGCTCCACCTTCTGCTTTGGCTTTGTTGTTGTTTGTTGCTTATCAGTACAATAACAAATTAAAGCGTTTGATTGAATGGCGTAGTGAAAGCCGTCAAACAACAAAACAAAACATAATGCGCACAAACATTTCAAACTAAATACAAATTCTATGGAAAACGTAACAAAATTAATATCTAAGCTATATGACTCACGACGCTAACAGAATTGTACATAAATATATATCTATACATACACATATATTTAAATATACTGAAACTTTTGTATGTATACAAATGTCATATGTACTCAACTACATATATGTATAAACAGACATGTAAGCAGGGACAGCAACAAATTTTCATTGTATAATAGGCAATCATAAGAAATAAGGACCAAAACGAAGAGCACATTGATCCTACGTACATATACACTCTCAATGCACACACCGACACAAGCTGACAGGCGGTATAAATTGTATGCCGCATGTGTTAGCGACAGCAAAAACAACAACAAGACGTTGCCACCTATTGATTATGTTGCGCATTTTTTGCATTCACACACAGACACAAAGTCACATATACAATAAAAAAAAATAAAAAAAATTATTAATAGCGGAAAAGAATATTTAATTTTTGTACTATTTTGCTGCATATACACGTTACACTTTACGACAAATTGCGTTTGCTTCGAGCATTCAAGCAACATGACACAATTTTTTTGCTTTGCTCTGCGAGTGTTTTGGCAAATGTTTTGTAGTAGGTTATGTTCCGCGTGTTAAAAATTGCGCTTACCTTTTGAAACCAGTGGGGTAAATAATTTACTTTGAATTGCTTTTAAAGAAGCGTAACTATTGACTTTATTGTTTTTTATGATATTCACTGTTTTTTATTTGACTTATAACACAAATTTTTAGCGTATTTTGGGAGCACAAATTAAACACGTGTCTACGTCCAACTTTTACATATCATAACATGGCCGGCGTATGCAGTGTTGCCATCATAGTGCACAAAAGCCGATAAACTAATGACGACGTTCGATCAGTGCCCTGCTATTTATTGAAATGCACTTGGTTTACAAACAAATCGCTTTTTAATATTGTCCCATATGGTATTGCACCTCAATTGTTTGCACAAATTGCTAAAACGCGAATGAATACAGTTAATCGAGCTGAATGACAACACATGCAAGAACAGAGCTGTATTTAAAAGTAGTCGAGAAAGGCGATAACAAGAACACCTATAAATACCAAAAATTTGTAAACGACATGTACATTTTTTCACATTTAAGTGCATTCCTTCAAAATCAAAAATATATTTAAAGGTAAAAGAAAAATTGAACCACTGACTGACGCTTAAAACAATACTTAGATATATAAAATAGCCCGCCTTTTTTAAAATATACTGAGCGATAAATTATTAGCAACTCCGATTTAGTATCTTTGAAAGTGCCTTCAAATTATATTCATAATTCAATAGAACATTAAATATTTAATCATATTATATTACTATAACCCGGTGCATAGTCATATGATCAATATAAAATGACATCATATAAATTTCAAAATCGAAAATCGTATCGTATGTGTAAGGCCAAAACTGAATAGTCTGGCAGCTCTAAGCTAATGTCAGAGCGCAACGGCTTCCTGTTAGCTTTCTTTGACAGCGCTCTTTCTACCATTTGACAGCAACTGAGGTAGGTCGGCCGCGAAATAGTTGTGTACAAATTCTGAAATTATTGCAAACATCATACAGTTGTATGTGCAAATTATGTGTGCAATAGCAACTTAAAATATCGATGCTATATATAGCGCAGTTGTTGAATATGAATACCAAGTGAAACTAATTAAAAACTGTGTTTACAATTTTTGTTTGTTTTGCAGTGACAATGGCAGTCCGCTACGAGCTGTGTATTGGTCTCAACAGGGGCCACAAGACCACCAAAGTCAAGAATGTCAAGTATACCGGCGACAAGAAGGTCAAGGGTCTGCGTGGCTCCCGTTTGAAGAACGTAAGTGAAAAATCAATAATATCCCTATTGGCATTTGTTTACATTATGTTTGACATTGCATTTGCAGATTCAAACCCGCCACACAAAATTCACCCGCGATCTGGTTCGTGAGGTGGTTGGACATGCGCCCTACGAGAAGCGCACCATGGAATTGCTGAAGGTGTCCAAGGATAAGCGCGCCCTGAAGTACCTGAAGCGCCGCTTGGGCACACACATCCGTGCCAAGAGGAAGCGTGAGGAACTCTCCAACATTCTCACTCAGCTCAGGAAGGCTCAGACTCATGCCAAGTAAAAACCTTGGCAACCAACAACAGCAGCAGCAAAAATAACATCAATCGGTACACTTTAAAACATCAACGGTGTTTTTTTTTTATATAAATGTTGTGCAGTGTTAACAGCATTTGCTAAAACGTGTAAAGAAGAAAACTGAACAGTCGATGAAGCCAGAATTAAAAAACAAATTACAATAATTACGCATGAGTGTTTATTTTTTTTAAGTGCACTAAACGAACCAAAACGACAGTTGAGCATTTGTTAGTGGTTCCATAACCTCACTTTAAGCAAAAGCTTAACTGTTCTTTTTTGTTCATTCTTTTTATTGACTTGGCGATGCCACCTTTGTCAATAAGTGGTCCAATATGGAACATTCTAAACGGTACTTTCCAATATTGCTATAGATTGCAAAGAACGAACGGCTTTGATATGACTGTGGAATGCCACTGGAAATATTCTTAACTGTGGTTTCCACAGCTTGCCTGATTTTCCGCATAGCTTGGTTAGACACGAAATCAAACAACGACGAGTTATTGGAATACTGCTTGGAAGGGAATGCCTAGAACTAATTGAAAACTATAGAAATACATATGTACATACATATATGTATGTATTAGTATTTACTTAATAGAAGTAGAACACATTGCGAGCAATTAGAAGCTTCGATAGTTTTAGTGATTTCCATGGTTTGGTTTATTAAATATGCTTGTCGAACTCTTAACTTTGTACTTATATCTAAATTAAATGTGATACATAGTTCTTTCTAAATGCGATTATGCTATACGTATAGAAGACCTTGGACTACAGTGGGCATTCGCTAAACGTGCACATGCATGTGCATGTGTGTGTCTGGCCGCAGCTGGAGTTCCCAGTCTCGAACAAATCTTGTTTAGGTTAGATGATGCTTACAAACTATGAGTACTCGGCGGTGCATTTTTGTGGAAGTGAATCAGGAACAGGGGGCTGGAGAAACAGGAGCACCATACCGTGAACACAGCCGTTTGTGTCAACGAGTGCTTACTGTACTTCCATTTTGATTTTGATTGAATTTTGATTTCTGCATTCAGAAGTCTTCGTCGTTTAGGCTGGGCAACGAGATGGTCACCTCGCCCACCAGCTGCGCCTCGTTGGCATCGTTGGAAACGATTATGCGTTCGTAGTCAACACCAATTGGATTCACTATCTCATAACAGCTGCCGGCCAGGTTCGGCTCCTCTTTGATATGTGGCGCTAAGATCTGCTGTGTAACCTCCAGGCTCTCAATGCGCGTCATCTCTAGCCGATAGAAACCGTTCTCATCCACGCGATACGAGAAGCGTTTGTGGCCCGATGGCAGACGAAAGCCGTGCTTCTTAATCAGATGAACGGACAGGGATTTGCCCGTCTTAAAGTAGCGCTCACAGCAATGGCAGGCATAGAATATCGGATTATTGCCATGCACCTCCAGAAAGTGCTGCAAAGAAATCGATTCGAGTTAGGGGAGAGGTCATATAGGTAGGTGGATTGATGTTGGCTTACTCGTCTCATCTGCGTGTAGGTGCGCACGGAGTACTGACAGCCGGGTTGATCGCACTGATGCACCATCTTGGAATGGACAATCTGTACGTGCTTGGCCAGATCCGATTCGCGAACACAGCGTGTGTCGCATTCCGTGCACTTGTACGGCTTGTCCTTCAGGTGGCGATAGCGTACGTGCGTGGTCAGCGAGCTGGCCGAGCTGCAGGTCATGTCGCACATGGTGCACTTGTAGCAGTTCACGTGCCGCACAACATGACCGCGCAGCAGCTTCTCCGTGGCAAAGAATTTAAAGCACTGCGCACATTGAAATTTGTGTGCTAGATGGGGAGAGAGAGACGGGTAGACAGAAACAGAGAGAGATAGATAGATAGAGAGAGAGAGAGTGAGATATATTTTTGTTTATTCTTTACTCAATTTACTTACTGTTGTTGTCCGGCTGCCGGCGGAGATGATCGAACAGCGTTGTCTTCGTCCTGAACAGCTCGCCGCAATGATAGCAGGCAACATGCTTTTTGTTGGAGTGCGTGCTGATGTGCTCGATGAGGCGATACTTGTTCTCCAGCTGCTTGTTGCACAGCGTCCAGTTGCACTGGGTCTTGGGCCGCTCGTCGTCTGGCGACTTTTGTATCTCATATTCAAAGGAGGCGTGCTGCACAATGTGATCCTGGAACTCGACTATGGAAATGAACGAGCGCTGGCAGTCACTCCAGCCGCAATGGAAATTCTGTTTCAGCTCGGGCAGCTTGTTGCCTTTGCGTGGCAGTGCATAGCAGGAAGGTATCTCGGGATGGAGCTCGCACTCGTGCTTGCCCTGGAGCAGCAGATTAATGTAATAGCCATGATAGTAACTGTGCCGTTCGAATTCTTCGCGGCAATTTGTTTGAAAGTCGCAATCGTTCCATACGCATACACATTTGTCCGGGCCCTGTGACTCTTGCTGCTGTTGCTGTTGCTGTTGCTGCTGCTGGTGCTTCTCCAGATGCTCGGCAATGTGGCCATTGAGCAGCCATTCGCCATCGCAAACCACTTTGCAATCGCGCCAGCCGCAGGGCAACTGCAGCTCTGATGATTTTTTCCTCTTGCTCGTTGGGTGTTGCTTCATCATTGTGTTTGTGTGGGTGGGCGTGCGCAAATCTGGATCTAATAAAAATCTGCAAAATTCTAGTCAATAAATTGCAATTCCCTCCCGTGTAAAAGAAAAACTCTATCGCAATGGTATCGCTATAGTGATGGCAATTTTCAAAGTGCATCCGCATCGATATTTTCGGTTAGCATATATCGATAGGAATGCAGTGCCAACCAAGCCGTCAACAGGCCAAGCGGTCAAATTTTCAAAGATTCTCCTCGAAATGGGGTTCTTAAAATTGATATATTAATTTCAATTTACTGAGGTTTTTTATTTGCTTTGCTTACACGACCTTTCATTTCGTTATTCGTAGCTGGATAGTTGTTTGTTTACTCGAAACCTAAAGTAAGGTATCGTTTTATTATTTTAATTAAACAGTTAAAGCGATATAATAAGGAAAAAGAAATGATCATTGAAAATAGGGGCGTTTTGTTTTTGTTTAGCTACTTTTAATCGTTTCAGTTATTGCTTAAAATGTACGATAGTTGATATAAACTTAATCTAAATCGAGTGCGCATTTGCATATCTATCGATTGACTTAACGATACACCACTTTCCCTCCAATTTTCATGGTTTCAATAGTTGAGCTCTCTCTCTATCTTTTCCTTTTACTTATATATAGGTATATTTCTTTTTCAACTTATTTACAATTGTTTCGTTTTTGTTTTATTTAAATTATACAGTATTGTTGCTAATGTTAATTCTGCCTAGAGCAAATGCGCACACTCCCGTTCTCTCCACAATATGCCAATAAAAATATTATACTTACACGGGGAACTACAAATATTTATGAACTTGGCTTAAAGTCCTGGCATCACATACGCAATGTTGTCCAACGTTGTGGCCAGATTTGTGCTTAGCTGCGTCTTGTTCTCCAGTCCAGGTATTTGCGTTGTCATGCAGAGCAGCGGCCCCATCGAGCACAAGAGGCTGTCCAGTAGGACAGAGAGGCTGCCCGAGAGGGCGACATGTCCATTGTGCTCCTTCAAGCGTTCCCCAATCACTGTCAGACTTTCGCCAAGCAGCTTTAAATGGGCAGCCGCATCGATAGCCTCAATGCTCGACGGTGTAACCTTGCCACTGGCCAGCTCCATATCCAATTGCGCAGCGCTTTGTCGAGTGGATGGGCTCGCCTGGCTGGTGGCTGCGGGAATCGCCTTGATCCGGCTGTTGTTACTGCGTTTCTGTCTGCTTTGTGCCCACGTGGTGGGTGTTGTCGCCTGCTCCGGCAATTGGCGTCGATCTGCAGCCAATTTCTTGGTGCGACTCGTTGTGGCGCGATTCACAAAACTCGAGTCTGGAGTCGCCGCTGACACAGAGGCGCTGCCATTGCTTGCCTTTGACGGTGTTTGCGCTGTAGCCACTTCAGCTGGCGCATTATATTCCCGGGTACGCGCCTTTGCTGCCAGCACCTTGGCTTTGCGGCGCCAGGCGTTCTTCTCCCTGTTGGACACATTGGCCCACAGCTCGCTGAGTCTTCGTGCCGCATTGGCTGAGTCTAGGCGAGAGATTACGTTTAGTTATTTGTATATGATTTTGAATAATGTCTCACCTAGATCTGGAAAGTCGCGTTTGCGCACCTCACGCATCCACAAGCTGTAGGCCGTGTAGCGCGCCCGCACCTTGTCCTTTCTTTGCAATTTGTTATCCTTGAGCAGCTTTCGCTTATTGTTTGACTTTTCTCGCATATAAAGACTCTGTCGAACCCGCGAATCGTTCGTGTAGGAGGCCTCCGCCTCGACACCTTCGACCAGGTCTTGGACCAATGTGTCCACCTCATCATCAGAGTTCATAAGGGCGCCACGTAAATCGGCCGTGCCACCAATTGTGGGTATTGCGGTCTCCTCATCGGAGATATTGTGATTGTGTTCCAGCTCATCCTCCTCGTCCTCCTCCTCGGCGTAGGCCAGCGCCAATTCTTGTTCACGCTCTCGCAGCGCATTTGGTGGCCGGCCTCGTCCTGGATATCTAGCTGGTTGCCTGCCCGGTCGTTTGGTGCGCTTTTCAATTTCCTCCGGGGATTCGAAGTCCAACAGTTTAGACGATTTTTTGCGTACGCGTCCACTGCGTGAAACGCCAGCCACCTGAAAATCTAAGCAATCGTTGAGCACGGATTTTTCGACAAGTTTGCATGGCATACCCTTTGTCACAGGATTTGATATTGGGGATTCCATTGTTTTGATTTTAATTATTATCAATATTTTTAATTGTTGTAAACGACGCGATGAGAAATCAGTAAACAGCTGTTTACAACAAATACGGTCATACTAGACCCATCCGATAAACGATGGTCATGACTCATGAGTGCAACAGCTTGGAAGATTGCACAAGAATAATACGATTATGCACAGCAATATAAATAACAATGATAAACTGATCGCAAGGAACTCACAATCTATTGATCAACTTTTCAGTAACTGATAAGGTTACCAGTTTTACCATGTGTTCTGATATTTTACATAGCTAATCAGGTGCAATTTAAATATATTAATAATTTAATAAGCTTTATTAATTACATTTATTCATTTTCACAATTTTAATAAACATAAATTTAATAATTACGCAGTATTTTCTGCTTATACACTTGTGACGTCACACCTGTAGATCGTTAATGAAATGGCCACGCGTGGCGATATCTTCTTGGCTCTGGTTGCACTTGAAATACATACTTTCGATAGTTTCGATTACAAGCGACGCGATTTGTATACAGTTTTGATTACAATTCTTGTTGCGCTGCTTGCGGTTTTGTTGATACGCTGGGCGACATAGGCATTGAGTCGGCATTTTATTGATTACATATGGCAAACTGGCGCTTGGCACGCAACGCCGGCCCCCAAACCAAGGACATAAACGACCCCCATATGGACAGGCGACATTAACGTGTTTTGTTTGGATTTCGTGTGTGTGTTTGTTTGTTTGTGGATGTTGATTTTTGTATTTGGCGAATCAAGACCAAAACGACGGTTGAGCCGCTCAAATTGTGTTTGTTGTTTTAGTTATCCCTCGGCCATTCACTCAGTGCCGTGCATTTGTAAAACTCGCATTTAACGCGAGCGTTTGTGTGACTAACCCAAAGCAATTACCATTAGCATAACAAATTCATAATTCATATAAAATTGAAAACAAATAATTCAAACATGTCGACTACAGTGAATACTAATTCCGAGTCCGCGGCCAATGGCCGCTCCGAAACCGATCGCATTTCCTCCCTCGAGCTGCAGTCGAGCAAACGGATGCTGTATTTCAGCGATGGCGTCATGGAGGAGCCCTCCTCCAGCGATAGCGACGGCGAGCCGGACGTGCCCGATAAGGGTTACGATGCCCAATTGGAGGTAAGCCTTGTGTAAACTATGAATTTAGCTGTTGATACGATAATGAATGAATGAATCAATTATTGGTAACTAATCAAATTTTGTGACTCATTCGGGAGCAGCGCGAACTGCCGCTCGGGCCGCGCCTACGTTACAAGGCCACCAAGGTGGGCCACAATATATTGGCCGGCATTGATTACGTTGGCGGCGGCCTTGCCTCATTCCTGGGCATTACAAACTCGAAGTATGCCAGCGAACTTAAATACCATCAGCGTGCCAAGGAGCAGGCCGAGGCCGAGGCCGCGACCGACGAGGACCTTGATAATTGGCAAGCGAACGGCAACGGGAGAAGTGGCAACAACAACAACAACAACAATCGAGGCGATACAATTGTGGTTTGTGCACCCGCTCGACGCGACGTGACCGCAGCGTTGCCACCCAGTCGACAATAATACTTGAACTAGCGATGAACTCCATTTGCGGCAGCTCAAATATAAGAGAAACGCAGAAGTCGTATAAGACACAAAAATGCTCATCAGGTAAAATTGTAAAAAGAAAATTGTATATACCAAAAATCAAAACAAAGAAAATCCATGTATTAAGTAAACAGCATTAAATCATTTTGGACAACTTTATTCGCCATAAATAAGATACGAAATACATTTGACATATTTATATATATATAAAAATGGTTTTATTAAAAAAAAAAAAAAAAAAATAGAAGGGATAGAAGGCATGCTCATTTATACGATATATAAATAGAGTTTAATACGATTTGATTGAATTCAAAATTTTTTTCAGCTTTTATAAAGACTCTCAAGACTTAGTTGGAACTTAATTGCTATAATATGTATAAATGTATTAAGTATTTTTTTGTTTGTTTAATTCTTAACTCTAATGGCACACTGAATACAATTATTGTTTGATTTAAGTACACTTGCGTTTCGAATCGATTTTGGATTTAAGTACACTTCTTTTTTTTTTATTAAATCTTTAAAACATGAATCACAGTATCACAGAATTTACATATATTTATATATATATATATAGGAAGCAGAATGATAAAAAATATATATTATAATTAGAATATGCGGCAAGAATTGTTTTTAGTGTATTGTACTTTGGTTACGCGCTAAAAAATAATTATTAAAAATCAAAGTGCCATGAAATAATATACAAAATTACATAATTAAGTAAATAAGGCCAAGTTACATACAAATGTCGAATTGAATATAGAAATTTCAAAATACATTTTTGAAAATATTAAGTATTGCACAAAATGTTCATAAATATAATAATTAATATTAAATTTGTTTCATATCAAGCAAAGCTAAACCAAAAATCCAGGAGCTAGTTCAAAATGTAAAAGTGCTATTTTCTTTTAGCTGAACTAGTTCCTGGCTTTTCACTCATTTCATGGCATTTCAAGCAACATTTAAAGGAACACAACATAAATATTAATTAAAATAGAATATTAAGTACAGACACGCATACACAAGATAATACATTTAAAGCAATACATTTACGTGGGTTCCCAAAAGTCAGAAATAGTGTGAAACCTAAACATAATTATGCACAATTTGTTGGCCCTAATTTGGCTTATAAATTGATTTGAAATGATATATAGAGTATAATTTAAGGTATATGCCCAAACTAGTTCAATTTTACAAGTTCAACTGGAACTAGTTAGGCTAAGAGTTAACTGTTTGCAGTTTAAGTCAAGGAATCAAATATATATTCTATGTAATACAGCTCAAGTCCATATAAACAATTCAAATTCTTTTACAACTCAGTTGCTTATGAGCTCTACTATATGTTTTAAAATTACCTAAGTTGATATCTCTCAAGAAACTAGAGTCTAGACTGCATTAGTTCATTCGCTCTCTCACATCTAAGGCACAATTTTGAATATGCTTTCTCTCTATGCATACAATCTTTTTCTTTGCCTTAATCAAGTTAACAAATTGTGCATAAAGTGTAAATTGCTTAAATGCAAATTGATAGGTAGCTAAAGTAGGCTGATTCTATGCTGACCTTGGCAGGAACGTTGCGTTGTTATAGCCGCATTTGTGCTTAACGTGCGGCCTCAGACTTGAAGAACTCTTGGCGAGGGCAGCGATCAATCTGGATAAGAGTGGAACAAGTTGTTAGCAGATGAATAGTGTAATCAGAGCTGGTCATGACTCACGCTCAGAGCAACGTCTCGTTGCCATAGCGCTGCAGTTGCGGATAGTGTGTATAGCTGCCATGATGATGATGGCCATGGGCATGCTTAGATGGCGCATAGTAGAGCCGCTGCGTCGAGTGGGCGTGCGGCGTCTGTTGGGCGCTGCGGCCGAGCGAATAGTTAGACATTTGGTTGAGCGATATGGAGCCGGCGCCCGTGTGCTGCGACTTGTGCTTGTAGGGGCTGCTGATCAGTGGCGGCGCACTGACCATGGACTGGTGCGAGGGACGCACCGAGTGATAGGAGACAACGGTGCTGCTGCACGCCAGGTGGGAGCCACGCGAGCTGCTCTGGCCATCCAGCTGTTGGAGTTGCTGTTGCTGCAGCTGCTGCTGCTGCTGTTGCTGCAGATGATGATGATGATGATGGTGACGGTGCTGATGCAGAAGCGAGGGCTGCTGTTGCTGCTGTTGTTGCAGCTGCTGTTGCGGATGGCGGTCGGCCGATTGCTTGAGCGGACGCATGGACAGCTGGCGCTTGTAGAGACTGGATATGCTGGGACCCAGCACCCAGGCGAAACAGCAAATGCCCAGCATTAGCTCCATGAAGGCGCGCGTTAGATACGGCCAGAGCGGTGTGCTCGTCTCCCGCTGACTCAGCCAAACATCGATGTTGGCAAACTCATAGATCACGGCGAGCAGCAGCAGGGCACAGGCGGTGCCATAGATGAACAGAAAGATGCCAATGCCGGAGCTGTTGTGCACGCCCAGCTGCAGTTGCTGCTGCAGGCTCAGTGCATTGCTATTGCGCAATATCTCCTTGTTGCGGCAGTGCACCAAATAGCCAGAGATTAGATTCATCGAGCCAAAGATCCAATAGCAAAAGACGGGCGTGGCAACCAGCACCTGCAGCGCCTTGTCCGACTGATTGCCCACAAAGCAGGCGCCTGTTGGAAGGAGAGAAATCAGTCGTAGTCGTGTTACCGTTAAGGGTACAAATAAGTCCATCATACCCAACAGCTCATCAGCGTCGACGAGTCGCATCACGATCACCGCCGCCGTCTGGAACGCCGGCAGTCCCCAGGCCACAAAGCACACGAAGTTATTCTGCGCCAAATCCTGCTGAGCGCTGCCATGGCTGCTGCCTCCCTGTCGCTTAGCGGCGGGCAGCGCTATATGTCCCTTGGTATCGGGACTATTGCGGCGTATATCCCGATGCCAGCCAAGGCATAAAATGGCCCACCTGCAAAAAATAGAGAAGAGCACTTATCAGAGTCCTTCCATTATCACGCGAGTGCGCTTCATGTGGGAGCGAAATCAGATTTAAATATCATATAACTTTAGATGTTAAGGGTCTATCTATTACCATTTAGTGTCTATTGATCATTTTTCATCTTTTATATTTCTATAACTATTTTTGCCTTCACTTTTCCATCTATCTTTCGCCTGTATTTGAGATTCCGTTTAGTCTTAGCATAGAACTATGTCCATTAATATAATAATAATAAAATCAAATAAAAACTATTTCACTATTATAGGTAAATTTTAGATGATTCTGGGAATCCAAATCTATGAGCAGAAAACAGAGAATGAATTGATTCTTAGGCGAATCTCTAATTATAGCATATAGATTAAATGTATGTATATATCATATCGAAATTAGCTTTGAATATCATATAACTTTAGATGTTAAGGGTCTATCTATTACCGTTTAGTGTCTATTGATCATTTTTCATCTTTCATATTTCTATAACTATTTTGCCTTCACTTTTCCATCTATCTTTCGCCTGTATTTGAGATTCCGTTTAGTCTTAGCATAGAACTATGTCTATTAATATAATAATAATAAAATCAAATAAAAACTATTGCACTATTATAGGTAAATTTTAGATGATTCTGGGAATCCAAATCTATGAGCAGAAAACAGAGAATGAATTGATTCTTAGGCGAATCTCTAATTATAGCATATAGATTAAATGTATGTATATATCGTATATAGCATTTGCATTTGATATATTTATATATACCTACATATGTATATAGATTTGGGCTGAAACACAAAACGTTTTCAGTCATAAATAGGTGGCGTTAGCAAATTCCTATCTCTATTGTTATCAACCCTAACCACACGACATGAAAATAAAATATACCACATTTATGGACAAGTCGTAAAACAGTTCGGAGTCATAGTACTAAAATCACACTCAAGCACGAATGAAACATGAGTTTTATCGCTTACTTAAATTTTTTTTTTAATAATAAGAACTACTGAACTAGTTCCAAGCATTAGACATACAATTTGAAGAAACTCGTTCAAAGTCTTATTGGCTTCATATAATATCAAGTATACGACCTATATGAACTAAAATACATAGATAAATAGAATTTAATAGCTAATGAACTAGTTTTTGGGTTTTTGAACAAGTTCCAGCTGTTACTAATGTGCCTGCTTTAAAGTTTATCTAATGCAGAAATCTATTGAAAAAGTTCCAGTCTAGCTCTTGTTTAAATGAATATTGTATTATATAACTTTTTGAACCAGTTCCAGAAGCTCCCCTCAAAATCTAAAGCCTTTTGAATGATTTTCATAATTGAGTTACTCAAAGGGAACGGAAGAACAAGTTCCATTCTGGCTGCTGGTGATATGAAAACTTAACATTAACATTCAGAATGCAGTTCCTAAAAGCTCTCAAAATCAAAGATCAATTGAACAAGTTCCAGACTTGAGTTAGTCAAGTAGAATTTCCGACTAGTTCCAGTCTGCCTGCTGCTCTTAAACTAGTTCCAGTACTTTAGTTCATATATCAATTTCGGATTCGAACTAGTTCCTGCCTAGTTCCAGCACTTACCAGGCGCAAGCAGCCATGCCGAAATAGTATCGCAACAGGAAGACGCTGGCACAGGCCGCATTGGAGAGGCCATCGACGCTGAGCAGGGATTCGTTGGGCGCCTGGGGATCTGTGCCGCAGGCGGTGCCCGTGCGTCCGACAATGAAACGCACCGTCCAGCCAATGGTGACCATGTTGTGGCACCAGAGCAGCGGCGACAACAGACGCGACCACTTGGCGGCCGCATTGCCACTGGCGGCGCTGCCGGCGGTGCCACGCCCACGATGGTCACCGCCCAACAGGAGGAGGCAGAGCGTGGCAACGCAGGCGAGTCCCAGTCCGGCATACGCCCAGGTGGATACCCAGATTTCGGATAGATGCTTCTCGCTGGGCGTGAATAGAATGTCCGCCTCGCACAATGGTGCACAGCGTCCGGACCGATGCAGCTTCACATACAAATGGGATTTGGCCAGGGCCGAGCAGTCGAGCGGCAGCGGTGCGCCCATCTTCAGGCCCGGCAGCTGCTGGCCATAGAGCTCATGGTCTTGGAGCGTGAGATGCGTTTCGCCGGGTCCCTCCATGCACATGGTCTCGTGATTGTTCTCGCGCGGAAAGCGCTCGCAGTCGAGGGCCGGCGGCCAAGGGAAGCCGAAACCCTGGAGCACCGGATGACAGCGAATGCGCACGGATTCGCAGAGGCTGCGACAGGGCCCGATCGAGTGGACCGGCGCCTTGGGCGTGCACATGGGCACATAGGCGGCGCACAGGAAGAGTTTCAGCTGGGAGCTGCAATCGTATTCGATGAGCGGGGCAAACGTTTGCAGCGTATACTCCACGTCCGTCTGCAGCTCGTGCCCCACCAGATTGGGCATTGATGTTTCGTTGTAGCCAATGCCGCGGCACATCTCGATCCGGATGGGCTCGCACTGGCGGAAAATGATTTCGGGCGGGGCGTTGCTGCTGCTGATGATGCCAGTACTGATGATGGCAGTGCTGCCCCCGCTTCTGGCTGGCGCAAACAGCAGCAGGGCTGCCAGCAACCATTTTACGTTCATCCTGATTTAACTTGTTGATACTGCGCTACTCTTGTTCTTATTCTTATTGTTGCCGTTGTTGTTGTTGCTGCTGCTGTTGTTATTGTTGTTGTTGCTCAGTCGGTTTGCATAGTGCCTGCCGTTAGCAGAGAACTGGTTCCATGCGCTCGCGCTTGCACTCACACTTATTGGCCAGATAGCAGCTATCTCTTTCCCGCCCGCCTGTCTGGCCACTGGACTCCCCTTGTCAGCTCGTTAACTACCTTGGCGTCGGTCGCTCTTGTTATCGTGCGGTCGACGTCGCTGCTGCAAACTAGTTTTTCTGTTCTTGTTCTTTCACAATTGGTATGCAGATTATCTTTTGCCCAATTACAATTTTACACTTTTTCCGTTTAACTGCGTTTGCGTCTGCGGCTGCTGCTGCACAGTTTTGCACTTGTTTATGTTTTCCGTTTTCGGTTTCAGCTTTTATTTTTTTTTTTCCTAACAACTTATATAGGATTTGTTTGTTTACTTAAGGTAGTTATAAATATCTATATTTATTTATGTTCGCAGTTAGTCACATTGTTTGCATTTGGCCTGCCAAAATTGATATGCCACTAGAAAATTTCGATCTCGAGCTCACTAGTTGAATGTTTACTTTGGTTTCGTTGCGACCAAGAAATTAAGACTTGTAAATATTGCGTTGAATCGTTTCGGGTAGAACTTGTAGATATCTGTCTATCGATAGTACTGGACTCATGCTAAGTGGCGGCAAATCGATTGCGTTCCAGTGCTATAAAATAGGCTATCGAAAAAGTAGTGTTGGCTAAGTTCACACAGCGCTAAAATCGGCAATACAAATTAAAATTTCGAGATGCAGGCAAAAACAAAGAAGGACCGAGGTAAGACGAAAATTATGTCTTTTTGCTTTTATTGAATTTAATAGAATTATTAACTGGTATATATGTAGATAGCAACAAGTAACACAAATTGCACTTTTCATATCATCAACGCTATACCAAAAAACAATTGTTCTAACGATTCACAACAATATGTGTTCAAATGTTTGTTTTTTTGTTTTGGTTTTTACAAATTTTCTTTAACAATATCGTTATTCTGTACACACCACACCACAAGAGCGAATTGCATACAATATGCATTTGAATTGAGGCGAGCCCCGCACGCATACTCTCTAGATATCTAGATCTCGCTCTCTCTCTTTAACACACGCACACACACATATGCTCTCTCTTGTTTTATGATTTGCCTGATTGCGGTTATGTCTGATATTATTTTGTTATATTCTTCTATATCGAGCTGTATACGATATTGCCAAATTCCTAGGCAAAACGATTCGGCAACATTCTAGCCCGAACATCTTTAATTTATGTGCAGACTTTCGCTAACCGCTTAATGTATGTATATATGTATATATATATATATATAATTGTATAGGTAGCTTTAGATAAATTTTTAAGATATTACAAATTAATTTACATTATTTAATTAGTGCGAGTAACAATTACAATAAAATCGAAAAAACAAGCACAATATATGCTCAAAATATGAATTATTATATTATGCATGTATGTATATATATGTAAGTCAGCATATGTATATGTATATGAATATGTATTTATGTTTATGTATGTACGTATGCCGTATATATGAGGATTGCCAGCCAATATTTAACAAAAAGCGATAACAAGAAAATATCTTCGATTCAACCGAAGCTTCATCTTCTTTTTCGTCCGCTCAACAAATTCTGGCACATAAAATGATTTAACTATATAGATATATATATATATGTCTGTCTGTCTGTATGTATGTATATAAATTTGCTATTATCTCTTCTTTGGTTTGTTTGTTTGTTTTTTTGTTTTTGGGTTCTCGGCTCTACTCATCGTAGTCGCTGATCATTAGGCCCCGTTTGGTAAAGTTAATCGACGAGACCGCTGAGAGATTGGCCGCCCCATCCATATTATCGAAGAGGTCACTAGTAGCTGAGCTATTGAGGGAGTTAAGCGTTACGTTGAATGAGCCGCCAGCGGTATTGAAACGCTCCTGCAGCTCCTGTTGCTGCTTCAACGTTTCCAATTCATCACGCAGCGCCTGATTGCTTAAACGCAAATGTTCCGCCTCCTGCAAACAATCGCGCAGACTGCAAAAGATAAATGATTAACGGTGTATCTATATACATATATGTTTATATATGTGTTCCATTTACTCACCTGTCTATCTCATTTTGCATACTCTTGATGTAGTCACAGGCCTTGATTAATATTTGAGACTTGGAATCGTTGGGTGGTGTGCGTCCATTCTGCTGCTGCTGCTGATTATTCCGCATGCTGGCCGCTTTGCTGTCCAACGTTTCGGCCATTGGCTTGTAGCGATTGCCCTCCGTTGGCAGCATCTCCTTCAGCTTGAAGATCCAGCAATTGATTTTATCACGACGCCGGCGTTCCACCTCGTTGTGTGTGGCGCGGCGCTTGTCGTCGCGCTTCTTAAACGCATCCATCTTAACATTATAGCCAGCTGAAGCTATGGCTGGAACTGCTGCTGCTGCGGCATGGCTAGCCACTGGTAAAGAGGAGCTGCTGCTGCCGCTGCCGCTGCCACAGGCGCTGCCTGGTGAATCTTTGCTGGCAGCAACAACAATGTTGTGCGTGGTCGTTGTTGCACCGCTGCCACTAACGTACAGCACGTTCGTGGACGGTGTGGCAATGGAGTCCGGCTCCAGTTTAATGGAAGCCATTGGTTGTGCATGCTGCTGTTGGTGTTGGTTTTGCTGCTGGTGCTGGTGCTGGTGTTGCTTCTGCAACAATTGCTCGTGCGCCTTGGGACTTGTGGTCGTCGTGGTAGTGGTGTCTTTAACTAAATAGATTTCACAACCCGTTGGCAGCTGCAGATTTGTTGGGAGCAGCGCGTGCAGCGCATCCAAATCTGGTTCCTGTTTAATGCTCTCGATGGCATAAAACTCCTGAGATTCATTCGAATTGTCATCGTCACCGCATATGGTTAAATAGATTTGTGCACCATTGTTCACGTCCACGCCGCTCGCTAGAAAAATACCGTTTGTTGCCGTGCCAGCACCATTCCCGTTACTATATGTAGCATATGCAACGTCTGTTGCAGCCGTTGCTGTTGCAGCTGTGGCCAGCTCCAGACGTGGCCTTTTCTTTACGTTCATTGCAGCTGGTTTGTGTCGATGCCGTTGTTGTTGTTGTTGTTGCTATTATTATTGTTGTAGCCGTCCGATGTCATCTCACTGTGTTATGTTGGCGTTTGCATGTGTGCACATATCCATATATGTATGTTACAATTGGGTGTCTTCTCTTCTTTCTTTTTGTTCCTTTTTTTGTTTTGTTTGTTGTTGCTGCTGCTGTTGTTGTTGTTGTTGCTGTTGTTGTTCACGTAACTTTCTGTGTAATTGAAAAGCCCGAACAGCTATTAGCTACCGCTATGGCAGAGCAATCGAAAAGAACTCGTTGGCAATTTGTATTGCGTTAGTTTGGCCATTTAGTTGGCTAATGTTCACACTCACACATCTGTCGACGTTGTTAGACAACAATAATAATAATTGTAATTGCTACGATATGTGGGTGTTCGCTTTTTTGCGTCTGGCATCCTTATCTGCATGCAAACTTCTTCAGCTGGCAACCCCACCCGCAGCCAAGTGACTCAAGAATTATCGCATAAGATAACGCCACAAAAATATATGCAATGCAAAACAGAAGGCATTTTGATTCTGCGCATCTACGTCATATACGCACAGATGAAGTAATTCATTATATTTGCCATGAGAAAGGTAATAAATGAGACCAACTTCAGAAGAAATTCAAATTTATGTATTAATTCCTGAAAGTGCATAAATATGGAATGGTGATTTTTGAATAAATACAATATCCAATTTGTCGACAGTTAAAACTATCGCAGACCTATCGAAAGTCGCGCACAACGTAACCTTCTTATATTTGACCATGGCTACAGTTTAGCTCATATCGATATACCGATTAATGTTTGGCAATATTGCGATACAACAACACGGCATAACATAAACAAACCTCGATCTTGTTTATTGAAATTTGATATTAAAATTACTATTGAAATATGGCTATACCATCAGCAACGGAATCGCTTTCGCTTGCCCTGAAAAACCGCTTTCTGCCAAATCTGGAGTATTTACTACAAGGCTCCATATTGGACACAGCCGTCGAGCATTTGATGCACAGGTAAAATTAATACAAAAACCCGGCTCAAATCTGATATTAACGGAAATTACATTTGCAGATTGAAGGGCCTATGTGATAATGTGGATACATCGCCGGAGACGTTTCATGATCTCGAGGTGTGCATGAGTCTGCGTCAGCCGAATTCACCTCAGCCCGTGCTACTCCTCCGCGTGAGACGCGCACTGGGACGCGATGCGCCGTTCCAGCTGCGATATTTGGGCCAGCCGGAGGTGGATATGCGTCGACCGACGTTGGTGCGCAGCTGCATGGACTGCGCTTGCACCAACGGAATACTCGACTTCCTATCCGAAATGGGGTTCCGCCTTGAGTTCGAATATATTGCAAAAGGTTGGTCTCAAATGAATCTAGAATAAGCGGCTCAAAAGCTAATGATCGACAAATTCTGGACAGGCTACATGTTTCGCAAGGGTCGCATGAAGATAACCGTCTCGAAGCTGATCAAAATTGTGCCCGGCAAGCAACAGGACATGGCCAACGAGCCCATCTCGCAGAGCTACATTGTCGAACTGTCTGTGGTGGCGCCCACGGGCCAGGAGAATGTGGGCGAGGAGATGCGCGTGTTTGCAGAGCAGTTGAAACCGCTGGTGCAGCTAGACAAGATTGACTACAAGCGTCTGGCCAATATACCATGAAGCCATTGCTAACCATGCCCTTTCCTTTCTACAGAACCAAATGTGCTCCCAATGATGCAGCACCGCAAAGACAGGATGTACATACGAATGCATCTATATGATAATTTGATCTATACAACTATTATAAGTAAAACACATAGTTCCACTTTTCAATACAATTTCTTTTGATTGATCGAACGATAACAATTTAATTGAAACATCTAGAATCCAAACATTTAGAGAAATACACTCAAAGCACAATAGCCAAACAACATTTTAAATGGAAGGACGTTGGGCGGAATGCATGGCGTTTCAAATTTATTCACCGGACACCAACTGCTGCAGCCTAATCCTTGAAGGCTTCGTTGAGTGCTGACAAGTTGCGATCGCTGATGTGACCCTGCAGATCGCTTCGCCCCATCAGGGATATGACCATTTTGAGCGTGCTCCAGATCGACTCGGACATCTGATTTTGGCCGATAGCCTGAGCGTTGGGTAACTCTCTAGAGGCATTCGTGTGGGCCTGCATGGTAAGCGCCGTAATCAGGTGCTCGGCCGCCTCCTTATATGCTTTCAGATTCATGCAGCAGACGCCGACGTTGTAGCGCACGCGTATGAATCCTGGCTGCAGCTGGAGCGCCTGTTGATATGCCTCGACCGCCTCCACAGATCGTGAGCCGTTGGCCAGGCTGGCACCCAAACGATTCCATAGCTTGGCATTCTGAGGATCCACATGCACGGCCGCCCTATAACAGTCGACGGCCTTGTCAAATTCGCCGGATAAATTGTAGAGGACACCGAGTGCCTCCTGCAAATCGGAGTCCACTTGGGCGGGCTGCATGCGCACTGCCTCCAGGTAGACCTGCTGCAGATCGCGCAGCTTGTTGCCCCCAATCAGCGAGGAGGCCATGGTGACCGTCTCCGACTGCAGCTGCGGGTAAGCGGACAACAGGTGTTTATACTGCGGATGTACCTCCAGCCAGTTGGACAGCATTTTTACGGCATTGCTTTGCAAGCCTTCGTTGGTATAGCATACGGCCAGGGCCATCAGCACCGGGCGATTATCCGGCTGAATCTCCAGAGCCTTCTTGAGCGCCGCAATCGCCTGTGGATCCATTTCGTTTTCGGCCTGAGAGATGCCCAATAGCTGCCAGATTTCGGCCCGTTGCGGTTCCTTCTTGACGGCGACCTCAAAGCAGAGCACGGCGCTAGGTATGTCGCCCTTGTTCAAGTACTCCTTGCCCTTCTCAAATGCATTATCCAGCTCGGTCATCGGATTTTGTTCGGCAAATTCATACTCCTTGTAGGCGTCCAGATTCTCATTAAATTCGGAGAGCCAGGGATGTTCGTTCTCCTCAGCCAACTTTTGCCATTCGTCCTGCAGACGCTGCCAGAATTTTTCATTAAAATTTGTCGTTTGCTGCTCGTTGAGCTCCTTGTTGCGCTGATAGTCACTGATCCAATCCTCGAGAGACTCTGCGTAAGTTTCCACCCTTGGCAGATTGTCAGTAATGATCGTCTCGACGTTCTCGTCGAAGAACGAATCGTGCTGTTGCTGCTGAGGTTGATGTTGCTGGGATCCAGCTGTGATGGCAAGGTATGGCTGGCGCATCATTTGGTTTGGCATAAAGTTTTGGGTGCAGATCATCGTTTCGTCAAAGAAGTCTTGCGACTGCAGGGGCTGCAATGTCTGCACCGTTTTGTTTGGCTGGTGTTGCTGTTGCTGCTGTTGCATAAAATCCCGTCCCCATTGATTGGCCATTTCACTATGCTGTTGTGGTGGTCCATGGATGTTTACTCCGCGCATCTCTTGCAGCAGTGCATCCATTTGAAAGGACTGCGGTGGGCCAGCTACTTGACCTAGAAAATCGTTAACTAGTTGCTCATCCGGGCGCAAGCTGCGCTCGAACTGCGCAGGAGCAAAACCTTCGTCCTTGTGTGCAACATCTCGGGTGAATTGGCCACCCAACTGCATCAATGGATTGACACCGCCACAATCGCCCTCCACAAGCGGACGCAACGACATTTTGCTACGTAACTGCTTACTTGGTGTTGATCAGCAGTTGATTTTTGGATGGAGGGGCTTTAAGATAAGACGCGAAACAAAGGTCCAAATGTCCACAACGGGGATGGACTAAAAATTTGCATTGTTCTTTATTGATTTATCGAGTGAGCATACGGAGATCGAACTAGTAAGTGCAATTGCACTGTATATCGATATTTGCGCTATCGAGATTGATTGCTTATTGTGCTAAATTGGGAATGTTGGCGACAAAGCGATTACAGTCAATATATGTTGACACAATTTTTGTTTTCTCCTTTCAAACAAGTTTCAGAATATGTTCGTTTAATTAGTCCTTAATCAACAACTATTATTTCGATGTTTTACCAATAGTTCTTAAATATTTAAATACTAATTTACGTTTTCCGATGCGTTGTATATCGGATACTAAATACCAATTTATTTTTCCAAATTTCACGTAATATCAATGTTTTGGTTTGATGAAATACTATATTTGTTATTTACAGATGATAAACTAAACAATTACAATTCAAGTTATGTACAAATGTAAAATACACAAAGCTGACTAACGAAATGTTAATGCTAACAGTATTTTTGGTAGTTGTACAAGTTTTAGTATTATTGGTATTTCATGCCAAGGCGCAGGCAGCAACACCGATTGTACGTCGCTGTGAAATTCACTAGGTTGCACGTGTTTTTGTTATTCTATTTGAAATAAGAATAAATCTTAAGACGCAAAATTAAACGTGCCAGATGGAGCACGATAATTACACCGGCGTCAGCGAGCTGGGCGCCGACAATATCAACAGCAATGCAATGATCCTGTGCTGCGAATGCGGCGTCGCCATACAGCCAAATCCTGCGAATATGTGCGTGACATGTTTGCGAAATCATGTGGATATCACAGAGAATATACCGAAGCAGGCGGTGCTGCACTTCTGTCGCAACTGCGAGCGTTACTTGCAGCCGCCCAATGAGTGGATACAGGCCTCACTCGAGTCCAGGGAGCTGCTGGCCATTTGCCTGAAAAAACTGAAGGGATTGAAGGAGGTGAAACTGGTTGATGCAGGCTTCATATGGACGGAGCAGCACTCAAAGCGCATCAAGGTCAAGCTGACGGTGCATGGCGAAATCTCTGGAGGCACAGTGCTGCAGCAGGTCTTCATTGTTGAATTTACGGTGCAGAATCAAATGTGCACCGATTGTCATCGCACAGAGGCCAAAGACTTTTGGCGCTGCCTGGTGCAAGTGCGTCAACGGGCCGAGAACAAGAAGACCTTCTACTACCTGGAGCAGTTGATACTCAAATATAAGGCACATGAGAACACGCTGGGCATTAAGCCCGAGCACGGCGGCCTCGATTTCTACTATGTGAGCGAGAATCATGCCAGGCGCATGGTTGATTTTCTGCAGACAATGGTTCCTGTCAAAGTGACCACGTCGAAGCGCCTAATCTCACACGACATACACAGCAACAACTACAACTACAAATACAATTGGTCGGTGGAGATTGCGCCCATATCGAAGGACAGCGCCGTCTGCCTCACGAAGAAGCTGCGCCAGCAGCTGGGCAACATCTCGCCCGTGTGTCTGGTGAATCGGGTCTCGAGCAGCATTCACCTGATTGATCCGCTGACGGCTCAGATCGCCGAGGTCAACAGTCAGGTCTATTTCCGTGCTCCGTTCGAGGCTATTTGCAATCCCAAGCAACTGGTCGAGTACATCGTCATGGACATCGATGTGATACACGATAAGGATCGCAAGACGTATCCGGGCCAGGGCATGGTCTCCTTCAAGCACGCCCTTTGCGACATTTGGGTGGTGCGCTCCTCAGAGCTGGGTATCAACGACAATCCCGTACATACACGCTCCCACCTGGGCCACGTGCTGAAGGTGGGCGACTCGGTGATGGGCTACAATACGGCCGAGGCGAACATCAATAATCCAGAGTTCGATAAGCTGACTCCGAACCTCATTCCGGATGTTGTGCTCGTGCGCAAGCATTACGATCGGCAGACGCGTCTCAGCCAACGCCTGTGGAAGCTCAAGCATCTGGCGGATGAGGCGACGGACGAGCGCAGCAAATATGACTATCACGAGTTCCTCGACGACATCGAGGAGAACCCCGATATACGTGGACAGATCAATGTCTATCGTGATAGCAAGAAGACGCTGCCCATTGAGGTGCTGCAGAGCGCGACGGATGTGCCGCAGATCACGCTGGCCGAGATGCTTGAGGACATGACGCTGGAGTGTGCGGACGATGAAATGGGCGAGGAGCAACAGGAGACGGAGCAGGAGGAAGCACAGCCGCAACTATAGACATAAATATTGGAAAGGATTTGCTAGCAAGAGGAAGAGGAGGAGTCGAAAGCTAAAGTTATGGAAGAAACGCAAAGAGATGAAGCAGCATGCAGAAGAGGGGCCAGGGCGTGGCGAGGAAGATGGGGAGAAGGAGACAGAACTGTAAATACTGTTAAGAGAGAAGAAAGGCGGAAGCTGGAGGAGAAGCAGCAGGCAGAAGAGAAGAGACAGAAGAGCAGTTCAAGCCAACGAAAAGCAAGAGAAAGGCAGAGAGGGAAGAGCAGGAGGTCAAGATGGGGCAGTGGGAACAGATAGCGGTCCAGTCAACAAGGAAGAGTCGAAGCTTCTGCTGCAAGCGAACAGGAAGCGGAGCCACAGCTAAAGAAAAACTGTAGTTAACTTTTCTTTTTTATTATGTATTTACACACACGCACGCATACATATATATTTATATATAGATCTATACATACATATTTATATATATACATATATATAATTTGTTGGAATAAAACAAACAATAACATTCGACAATTTGATTTGATTTTTTTAATTCTAAGACATAACGGAACTCTAAACAGATTAATGTATATATATATATATACATATCTGGTTAAAAAGCGAGATTTCAGTTAGTGTTTACATTAACTAATTAGATTTCCTCTGGCATATCCGATTGGCCTGTTAAATGATCCAATTAGCTAAGAGTAAATTGCCAATAAGCAGCTCTACTTCAAACAAGCTGGACGTGCAACATGTCTGTATGCATGTAGTATATCCGATTAGACTTCATTAGAATTCCGAGTCTTATCAGCTTGCAATAGAAATAGTGCTAGCTGCTAATTCCATGAAATCTGTAAAATTCCAATCAGCAAAGCTCATAGCTCTTATTGGATTTACATGTTGTTCAGCTGGAATAACTTAACTGTAGAATTAGTATATATATGTATATATAAATTCGATTTACATATAGAATAAATGCGGCTCTTCATGTGTAGCTGAAGAGAGAGAGAGAGAGGGGGAGACAGAGAGAGAGAGAGGGGGAGACAGAGAGAGAGAGAGAGAGAGAGAGATGAATGAGAATTCAGTTTTGCGACTGATTCGAAATATGTGAAAATAAACAACAGATTAAACTTAGATTATATTACACAAAACAAAACAAAATACACTGAATTTAATTATTCTTGAATTATACAAAATACAAACAAAATCACAAATTTCACAGATTAAAAACTAACTAAAATCACTTAAAATTGGTCTTACAGCTGGAATTTTTCTTTCAATTGGATGATTAATATTTCTTCTTCATTTAGATATTAGTTGAATCACATTTAATTGGCCTTTACGACAATAATATACCATTCAATTGGATATCTAAAGTGCATTCCTATTCAGTTTACATTTAGCCAGGAAAATTACATTTAATTGGGTTTTACAGCAAGAATTTAGAGTTCCATCTGCTCATGTTTTAGTTTTCAATAAATGCCAATCGGAATTGCGTTCATCAATTGGAAGTCTATGCAATGGGTTTGGATTTCACTTTTAATTTTCATTCTATTTAACTAATTATTGGATTTCAGAAAATCCTCTTATCCTAGACCAATTGGAATTCGATCCAATTGGGTTTTGCGTTTTAGAAGCTCGCTTCAATTTGTTTTATACTTGACTAACTGTTGGAAATCTCGAGTCTCGACATCAATTTGCATCCAATTGGATATACAGTTTGATTGGATATTTGTTTACATTGATTTGCAAATTGGAATTGAATTCCAATCCAGCTGGGAATCGCATGCGCTTTGGGTTTACAGATCGAATGCGAATTCGAGCTCCCCATTTATGTTTGCCTTTTGATTTGATTTTTGTTTTTTTTTTTTTTTTTTTTTTTGCTATTTTCTAATACAATAAATAAGTTTTGGTTTAGTTATCTGTTTGATTTGTGATATCTGATTCAATTGGTTTCAAATTGGACTTTCAAATCGATATCAGATTCAATTGGAATTGCATTGAATTCGTTTAACGGATACGAAATCCACTTACAAGTAAATCTTTCTCCTTCCGTCTAGCTGGTTTGATTTTGGTTTTTTTTTTTTTTTTTTTTTTCTGTTTTGTACTTGCTAGGCAGTCTCCACTGTACTATCTGTGTGCTTGCTTAGGAGAGGCCCAGTTTGGGTTTCTCCTTGAAGAAGTAAACGTCATCGCAGTCGCAGTGCTGCGATGCCTCCAACTCCAGCAGGACGCGCTTGATCACCGGCAGAATGTGCTTCCTAGTGGCCTGCACGTTGTGCTGCCTCAGGAAGCTGCCGCCCATGAAATTGGTGTCGAGTGCGTGCGGACGCAGATCGAGCGGGGGCGTCGCGCATGCCAGCAAGGCCTGGCGTACACGCTCCACCAGCGGGGCGTGTCCGGATAGCGAGATGAGGGCCACGTCGCGCATCACCTGGCCACCCTTGACCGGCGGCACGTACATGCCCAGCAGAACCAGGAGATTGGTGCCGCAACCGAACTGGCGTATGGCATTCTCGGCGTCGGGCAGATCGATGAAGTCGCGTGCCAACATGGGCAGCCCGGCCATGGGCACCATGTGACGCTCCGTTTGCAGGCGCTTCATGTCCTTGCGCAGGACCTCGACGAGACTCAGCTTGCTGATGTCCGCACGCGCTGCCACTAGCTCATCGAAGAGCTGACAACGCAAACGCCTGCGCTCGCCATCGTCCAAGTCCTCCCTCTGCAGCTGCTCCAGCTGCTCGACCATTGCCAAATCGCGGGCACAGAAACGCTTCGCGGTTGGTGAAAAGTTGATGGTGTCGAGCACAATTGTGGCGTGCAGCAATTTAGTGACATACGCGGAGCGTGGCTCCTGCTCAGCCATGTAACGTTCGCCCACGAGTGTGGCGCAGGAGCCCAGCTCCGGTTCGATATGGCGCACACAGTGCACCGGCAAATGACTTACTGCTGGATGTTTCTCCATCGGTCTGTGGTCGAGAATCTCACCGACATTCGCTGCCCAGCTGTTGACGTGATGATCGACCAGGATGACATTAATATCCGGATTAGTCAACTTCTCTGGCAGATCGTCGCGAAAGACGAGCATTTCTGGAGTGATTTGACACTTTTGGAACATGTGACACACCTCCGTTTTGAGAGGATAATCGATCCGTGGTATATTCAATACAGGCACAAAGTCCTGGTCCTTCTGCCTGCCCGCATAGATGAAGGCGAGCGTCAATGCTGAGACAGCCGAGTCCAAATCGCACGACTCATTGCCTATCACTAAATTGAGTTTGCGTTGCACTTCCTGTGTGGGCGGAGGCCTGGGCGTGGGCGTTCGCCGAGCTGTCGTCGAGCTGGCCGCCTTATCGGGTAGGTACTGTAAATTGAAATCCAATATAGCTAATTAAGGTGAAAACTTATATTAGTGCACCGTCTCACTTACGCGGCTCAGCGTGGAACGCGAATGTAACAGGAAACGCAAGAGACACATTTGCTCAGACGTAGCAGTGCGCACACAATTTTCACATGAAATAAATAACAAACGGCACTGTGGAGCTCCGTGTGAAAAGCCACAAATGTCAACAGCAAATCGGGTACACACGATAATCGCAAGCAACAAGTATCGATAATGATACGGGGCTGGGATGTGGTAGATAGAGAGAGTGAGAGAGAGCGAGAGAGACAGGGAGCTGCCATTGAAACGAACATTCGCGATAAGTGCAAGCAACAAGTATCGATAGTATTTGATAGCTTCGCGCCAAGAATTTAACAATAAGCAGTTGCGGTTGGAGTTTGAAAAACTACTGTGCAATCGATTCAAGGTATAAGCAACAGGTATCGATGAACTTTGAAAGTGGCTTGTTGCGGGTTAAATAATGTCCAATTATTCGACTTCAACTGTTTTTTAATAGTATACGTCGACCTATGTTGTGATTATTTGCTAAACATTCATGAGAGTAGAAAATGCAGCTATTCAAATAAACGTAGATTTGAGATAATCCATTTTTTTCACTATCAGAGAGCCTGTAAACTTCAGCTAAGCTTTTTTAACAAAGTCTCCTGTATCCAAGTAACTCTTAAAATATTTCTGCTAAGCTGTCATTAAAGTTTCAGCATCACGTTGGATTGTTTGATTGTCTGCTGTACAACATTTTGAACATATATTCCAACCGTTATGCAATGACTTTAACGGATGCGTAATAAAACATATCGATATAGCTGACCAATTCAAATATCGTTACGCAATATTTTAAAACCCAGCAATAATCAACAAAAATGTGCCGGTCTCATTATATTTGCAAACCCCCAAGCCTTGAATAGTTCGTGTACTTGATGTTGAAAATGTCACTGATTTAAAAACAAGCGTTTAAAAAACATCGCATTTTATTCGACCTGCTGATTACCCGCAATAGCAGTAAATATCATTTTGACAATTAATGTTGCCAATCGATAGCAAATTTCTAGCCATCCCTACTTTTCAATTAAACGGCATTTTTGTGCGCGTCACATTAGATATCAAAGTTGTTTTGCTACATTTCACAAATATCTGCCGATCTTTGTGGACCGTAACAGGCGATTGCATAGAAGGACAATGGATACACCGCGTCGCAAACTGCGCAACCTGCACATGGAGAATGTGCAAAACAATAGCACACCGATCCGAATACCACCATCACCGATGCTGAAAACACTTGGTCATGGCACCGGTGTCAGTGTCTATCGCCTGGATAGGTCACCAAAGCTGGGCCGCATACGTTCACCGTGGGCGGTCAAACGCATCACACAACGCACCAGGGCCAAAAAGGATACGCTGTTCAATGACCGCATCATACACGAAGCAGCCATTTTGCGGTGAGTCCCAACTCCTTGCACCATTTTCATTTTTCGATGGCCTGATTGCACATATGCATATGTATTTTCCAACTAATGCTGTATACTACACACACACACACGTGCGTGCACACACACACCCGCTTACACACTTGCACGCATGTATACACACGTGGGCGAGCCGTTGGCTATACGCGCGAGTGTTTGTGTGTGTTTGCGAATGCATGCGTGTGCATATGCGTGTGTGGCTGCTGCGTCGCTCATGTGTGCGTGCATTTGGTGTACACAATTGCGGTCCCATACCCAGTAGCAAATTTGATGCAGAAATCTAGCTGTGCATCCTGCAAGAATTAGAATTAGATGAACAAATTCTCTTAGTTGTCATGATCAAATGACATTCAACAGCTTCAATAAATGTTCACCAACAAAATGGCATGTCCTTGAGAGTGACTAATCATCATTTAGGATATAAAAATATAGAACTCACTCTAATGCTAAATTTTCTATTCATACGATAACTGCTTATGTGCTAATATCGCCGTTATATGATCCATTTTCAAGTACAACTGGCAGACAGTTATGTTTACATTAAATAGGGAATGCATCAAATTTCCAACTGGGTACAATATAGTATTTCAATATATGTACCTACCTGCACACACACACCCAAATGTATACAACATAAATACATGTCTCTTATGTTTACACACAGCAAACTGAACCACCCAAACATAGTCGGGTTTCGTGGCGTGATTAAATCGTCGGAGGGCGTCGATGCACTGGCCTTGGAAATGTGCAGCACATCGCTGGGCTCCATATTGGAGGAACGCCACGATGAGGATCTCGGACCGCTGCCCGCCAAACATACATTCAAAATGATCATGGACATTGCTCATGCTCTGGACTTTTTGCACACCGAGGCACGTCTGCTGCACGGCGATCTGAAGTCCTTCAATGTCCTGGTCAAGGGCGAATTCGAGATCTGTAAATTATGTGATTTTGGCGTTAGCCTGCCTCTGGACGAGAATGGCGAGATCAACTTTCACAAGAATCCCCAGCTGCAATATGTGGGTAGGTGTACTAGCTGCATTAGCTATATATATGAATATACATAATATATTGTTGACTTTTAATATATATTTGTATTGCGAACAGGCACTCAATTGTGGTCCCCGCCAGAGATAATGGACGAGGTGGATATTATTGATAGCAAAGCAGATATCTTTAGTTTCGGCCTGATCATCTATGAGACACTGGCCCTGGTGCCGCCACACACGCTGGAACTGGACGCCGCCTTCAATAGCAGCTCCATCATTGACTTGGAAAACTCGCAGGAGCAGCGCCGCCAGTTAAACTACACAGATGAGGGAAACATGAGCGTCACCGATCTAGATGGCAGCGTTAAGGATGCTAATGCTGCGGCCGATGCCCTTGTGGACACCGACGAGGATGATACCAAAGAGAATGACATCTCCGACTATTCGCTCAGTCATGTGGAGCAGGCGTATGGCACACGACCACCATTGCCCGTGGCATTCCAGCTGAGCGACGATTACAATTGTGTTGTCGAACTGTTCTACTTGTGCACCAATGCCCACAGCGAGGATCGTCCAGCGGCACGCACCATTTGGCAGTGCTTCGAGAACAATGCGGCCAATGTGGTCACAGCCAGTGATTCAGCCAGCGATTAATATCATAATTATTTGATATCATTTTAATCTGGCTGCCAATTAGCAAACTCTAAATGTTAACTATAAAAAAAAAAACATAGTTTAATAAGCGCTCTAAATGTAACTATATTTGTCTCCCTCTCTATAGAGATGGTCCTTTCCTTGTCATCCACAAACTAACGCACTCCCTCTCTCTCTCTCTCTCTCCACTCTCTCTGTTGGCTTACATATTTTTCTTGACCTCAACTTAGTGATTAATTTTAAATTATGGAATCAATTTTGCATGAGCTTAACCCCCGATGTATGTAACTCCTGCTCCTTCTCTCTACCTCTTTCTATATGTATAATTCCCTCACCCACTTGCTGTAAAAAAAATGCATCAACTGCAAAACATTGACAAAGGCCAAAACAAAATGAAAACGTGAATCTGTATTTACACATATTTCAGAATTAGATTTTAAGACTCTACATATACATATATTATAAATATTCCATGTATTCCATTTACGCTATATACAAAATAGCTAAAAAAAAAAAAAAAAAAAAAAAGAAAAACAAAAACAAAATAAACCAATGTTCGTTCATTTTTGTCCATAATTCGCGAATAAACACATAACAAAAATATTTTGACTTTGTATTTGTTTTAAGCTTTATAGAGATGTTAGATTTTAGCTGATGCAATATATAGTAAAATTTTCTATTGAGGTAGAGCTCCATGGAAGCGGTAAGATGGAGGATGGAAGATGGAGCTTGAAAGATGAAATATCTAAGATGGATGGTGGAAGAGGCAACGTAGTGATAGAAGATAGGCGATGGAAAGTAATAAGATACGTAAACATGAGATAGGAGATAGATGAGATAGAATGTAAATAATAAAATATTGGAGATAAATTATAGAATATAGAGTCAGCCCGACTACGTTTCGCTTTTTGATGACCTAAACTAAAAAATCTAAAATTTTGACTTTATTTTTTATTTTAATTAGTGTCCGTTAAAGTCCGTTAGATTAGAGGTCAAGTCCTAGCCAATCAGTTCTGTTATACCATCCACTCTTTAAGCTATTTCACTTATTTATTCATAGATTTTCAACATGAGCTTACAAAAAAAAAAAAAAAAAAAAAGTTTAAGCTTTTTTTTTCAGTGCACTGAGAAGTGCAGCCAAGATTTATTCAAAATACATTCACAATAATATTACGTGTTGTCTTTTCTTGATGTTTTTGTTTTCATTGTTGTCAGTGTATATAGCTTTATATATATGTAGCATATAGTCTATATAGTTGTTCGATTTGTATTTAGTTAGTGGTATACGCAATACTCGTTTATTGTTATCTAATTTGCTTTTAACAATATTTTTAGCCGCTTAGCTAATTAATATGTAGATTTATATAGAGTGTGTGTTCTGTAGTTTCGATAAACTGTTTAACACTAAGCTTTAGCCGATTTATATCTGTTTGGTGTATATATATCTAAAATATGTCTCTCATATGTTTTTTTTCGTTTGTTTGTTAACTTGATTTTCAATTGATTCGCAAATTTGACTACAATAATAGAAATGTGTATAAAAAGTTCTATATATATATATATAAATATATAGTCTAGCTCATATCGTGTGTGTATATATTGTATAAAACGTTATGCGTTTCTATATAGTTGTTGTTGTTTTTTTTTTTTTTTTTTAAAGGCGCTGTTGGTGTTTGTTTTTTAAGTTTTCTAAAATTCAAATTGGACGAAAGAACATATTTTAAAAGCAAATTTAAAAAAAATAATAATAAAATAAATGTTATATAAAATAAAATAAAATAATTTATGTAAATATATATATATACTTTTTCAATTAAAGTGCGCAAAAACAGATTTAAAAAAATAGTAATAATTTTTAGACAGGACGAACAAACATTTCTTTTTCTCTTCTCTTTTTTGCTTAAGTTTTTAAGTAGTAAGTACATGTTTGTGTGTGTGTGTGTGTGTGTGAGTGTAGGTGTACATATATGGAATGCAATGTTTCGAGCTTGTGGGCGTGGCTAATTGCTACAAAGACAATTCCGTTTGGAAGTCAACTTTATCGCACTCTCCTCTCTCTTTCTATCTATCTCACTCTAACTAGTGTAACACATCTCATATCGATAAATATATATGTATATATGTTTAACAAGGACATTAATGCTTATGCAAAATATATGAATTAAAAATAAACAAATGTCTATGCACAACAAATATTGGAAATGGAAACGTTAGACGAAATGTGGAATGTGTGTGTGTGTGTGTGTGTGTTGGTGTTGCATATATCTGCATATATAACATATATATTAAACATGTGTATGTGTATGTGTATGTGTGTGTGTGTTGTCTTTCATTAGCATTTGCATCCATTTACAAATGCAAAACTCCATCCTTGACATCACTGGCCATTATTGTGGATGCATTCGATGCAGCTTGTTTATGATGCATGGACGGCGACGAGGACAATTGTTGACTGTTGCTGTTGCTGCTGCTGTTCACTGTCACACAGCTAGCACCTCCTCCTCCAGCAGCTGCTGCAGCGCCTCCTCCATTGCCACCGATGGGACTCTCGTCAAGCGTTACGCCAGTTAAATCAACGATGTCATCCTGATCATCATGCTCCAGCTCATCGGATGTATTGGTGTGATTTGTATGATGTGATCCGCTCGATAGCTGACTGTTTCTTGAGAAGGAGCCGCGATGTGTTGACGTTAAGGTGCGCTGATTTGCTGGCTTCACAGTGATGATCAAATTTGAGCTATTTGCTACCATCATATCGGTTACCTAGTGTACAACAAAGAGCAGTTAAATGAATCATTTAATGGCAATCTACAATTACTGCACTTACCTGATCCAGCGTCTTGCCTGCCACCTCAATGCCATTAACTTCGATGACTTCATCGTTGACAGCGAGTAATCCAGTGCTCTCAGCCAGTCCACCAGGCACCAGACGTGATATAAAGATGCCTGGCTGCTTCTCCAATCCGTTGGCCGTAACACGCACGGAGGTGCCATCTCGTATATAGAAGCCTAACGGCTTATCGCTTCCATGCTTCAGCAGGCGGACTCGTCGATGCGTCTCTGGTACAATGTCCACATCAATGATGGCCGAGACCTGGCGAAAGTCGTGCGGTATGGATATGGATGGTGCTTTGGTCTTAACGGGCGTGTGGCCAAGTATGCTGCCAATCAAATTACGCGGCTTCATTGTGCCAAAGCCCGAATACTCGTTCAAATCGTCTGTGAATTAATATACATATATTTATATTTAAAGTTATAAAGCTGACAATATCATTAATCATGAAACGTACCTTTACGCTGAACTATGACTCGCAACAGCGGTCGCGCCGTCTTCAATGCACGCCCAAAGTTGTCGTCGTTGTTGATGGGCAGCAGATCGTTGTCGCAAGGATCAATGTAGAGTATTAGAAATTGTATGTTGGTCAATTTGTGCAGCTGCTCGATCAGTGAGGCGAACTTATCGAAGCTCTGTTCTGGCTCGTGGCGCTTGAAGCTCCAACGTCGGAACTCCGCATCGAACTGAAACAAAGTGTTATTCATTATTTGGCTAAGCAACGAATCTCGGAGACAGGGGATAATTGACCAATTTGCAAGATTAACTAGACGAAATTAATCGGCAACATTCTGGCAACGCTGCCCAACTGTTGCTGCACGCATGCACAAACAGGTAAAGACGACAACAATGTGATGTAAAGCAAATGGTTACATTTCTGGATGAACTTGACAAAATATCATACATCAGCTGGCAATGCCGCTCAACTGTTGCTCCACTCAAAAGCAAACAACAACAACAGCTCGTTTCTGCTGTCATTTCCAGCAGGCATGAATCAGCAGTGCCGCCGCCGTCGTTTCCACTATCTCTCAGTATGACCCAAACAAATTGGTCCAAAAAAGTATTACATTTGTATCTTTTGTGCAGGAGTCCTGCTTGCTTAGCTCACCTTTGATTTCACCTCAATTAGATTCGTTTCGGCATTTGCTGCCTGCGCTGCGGTTGTGTTTATTTTATTCTTCGACATTTTTACTTTTTATATCTATTTTTTTGCCCACTTCCAATTGCACACACACAATTTTTACAGCAACAACATCAACGCGCAACTGATGCGGTGCGTGTTCATTCAAGTTGCCGTCGCGGCGACAGCCAAACGTGTTGGTGCCCAGTTAAGTTAAAAACAAATTGTATAATAAATTATAATTCGAAAAAATTCTAAACTAAAACTAAATTATGCGTTGGCGTTTGGGTAAAAAAAACATCGAGACATCGCGATTTTTCTTGCAGCGATCACCAATATAGTTGTTGCATGCATGTATCGATATATTTTTAAATATAGTATATAATCGAGAGCAATTTAACCATAATTAAGTGGAATATTGCCATAGCAAATAAAACAATCAAAGCTGCTGAATATATTAAGTATATGAACATCATAATTATGAGAACAATTTTTGAATTCGTACAAAACGTCTAACTTATCGATGACTGTTATTTGAAGAAATACTAAAAAACCACCGCCCCTAGTATTTATCTGCATATGGCAGCACTAATTGCACAATCGCATTAGATGAAAATTTAAATATGAATAGGAAAAATGAAGATATATTGCCATTTAAGCGTTGTACATTTTAAAAACATTTCTTTTAAATAAAATATTATTCATTAAATTAAAATAATTTAAATAATAATAGCGTAGGAATTTATTGCGGGACTGTCCAATGCGATAAACACGAGCGAGACAACACTAGTGCATGCGCATGAAAGGAGTATAGATAGCTGTTTAATGGTGCAGACCATAGTTCCATATGCATACGCTGCATTTAAGCAAAGATAACAATTAACATTAGTAAGGTACAAAATTAAATAACCTAGTGAGCCTACTTGCTGTTAATCAAGCAAGTTGAAATTGTTATATTACAAAATAGAATTATTCGATGCGACGAACTTGAGGTGAGCAGAGTGTGTATGCAAAGCATCGAGCAAGAATCTAAATAGCCGACAGTGTAGCGCATACCCTACGACGAGGGTTTCTGTAAATGGAGGCTGTTTTGTGTGTGTGTGTTTTGTTGTTGAGCGTGTAGAAGTGTGCAATTGAGTAGAAACAGTGTGTGCGCTTCATTTATTTCTTTTTGTTGTGTTTTTTAAATGTTTCGAAAAGCCAATAGCCAAATAGGAAAACAAATCGATTACAAACAACAACGACGAACAGCAATTAAACGGGCGCAAAGTGGAAAAACAGCAGCGAAAACGAAAACGAAAACAGAGCCAAAAACGTTTTCTCTCTATTCACGAGACGACGCCAGTGAAGCGATACAGTTAGAATAGCTAACTTAATCAAAGCTTCCAGCCAGGACAGTTGGAAAAAAAACCGATTATTAAGCAAACCTTGAGACGCACACATACACATACATTTAAATACAGAGAGACGCAGACACACACATATATACATACGTACGCATACGCACGAAAGCAGACGCAGCAATGAGTTCGGTAATGTAAACAAATGAATAAAAACAATATATATATAAATATAAATATTTATATTTTGTTGTTGTGGTTTGTTTTTAGCAATATTCGAATGTGGAGAATCTGTCGCCGCAGACCATACGGCAGGTGATGAAGGAGCTGCAGGATATGGAAACAACACCACCCGAGGGCATCAAAGTCTTGATCAATGAGAGCGATGTCACCGATATACAGGCATTGATCGATGGACCAGCTGGAACACCATATGCCGTTGGCATCTTTCGTGTGAAGCTAACGTTGAGCAAAGATTTTCCACAAACGCCGCCAAAGGCATATTTCCTAACCAAAATTTTCCATCCAAATGTTGCGGCCAACGGTGAGATCTGTGTGAACACCTTGAAAAAGGATTGGAAGCCAGATCTGGGCATTAAGCATATATTGTTAACAATCAAATGTCTGCTCATCGTGCCCAATCCCGAATCGGCGCTCAACGAGGAGGCTGGCAAAATGCTGCTCGAACGCTACGACGATTATTCGCAGCGGGCGCGAATGATGACGGAAATCCATGCACAGGTGCAACAGAGTAGACTTAATGAGACATACTTTAATTTTTACATGTCATCGCATCTATATTATCTGATATTAATGTATGTACGTTTTTGTTTTTAGCCTGTGAAATGTGGCGTTAGCGATGCCAAAGATGATGATGGTCCATCGAATAAGAAGCATGCGGGTCTGGATAAAAAGCTGCAGGATAAGAAGAAGGAGAAGCTGCTCAAGGAGAAAAAACGCATGCTCAAGAGATTATGAGAGGCATAAGCAATATATATATATGTATATATGCATATATTTATATATATATTCTTCAACAGTAACAAATATATATTTGTATATATGTATATATATGCATGTATATAGTTGAGCAGCAACAACAACCAACTATATATGTATATATATATATATATCTATCTAAAAGTAAAGCCAGCAGCAGGCATACATCTACAGTGAACAATAGCAAAAGGCAACCAACTGAAGATAACTTAAACAAAATATGCAAAAACTTGGCGAATTCTTAAAACTGAAACGGAAACAACAAAAAAACAACAACTCCAAAGAAAAGTGCATCCAGTTACATATATATATATATATATATATAAAGCAAAACATAAATATAATATATATATATATATATATAAACAAAAAGAAAATAAATATAATATATATAGAAAACAAAACAGATTTAAAGCGAGCTAAGAAAATTAAAAAAAATATTGTTCAGAGCAAGAGCTGATCTGATTTTTAGTTTGTAGCAACAAAAAAGGAAAAACAAATATATGTATGTATGTATATCTATATATAGTTCGATCCTTGCTACACACACATAAAACATAAAACATCGCTTTGCGCGCTAGTTTTAGCATAATTTATAATATCTATGTAAATTAGTTTAAAAAACTCACACACACATATACACATGCAGCTACAAAGAGCGTTAGAGCGAGTGAGAGATAATACAACATTCACATGAAATTTACACTCACACATGCACTATTTGCTACAGTCATTCACACACACACATTCACTCACACACATTAGCCCACACATATAATTATTCTTAGTGCTTTGGTTTTTAATTTGACAGTTACCAACTTTTAAAATTTTGCAATATATATATTTTTTTAAAATTTCTAAATATATTTAACCATTTTTTTGTTAGATTTAAAACGCTTTTTTAAGTTTTAAAAAGTTAATTTCTCTCATTTTTTAATCTTGAAATTTTTCCTTAAATTTTAAATACTTAATTTTTTTTTTCTTTCTAATTTGGAAATTTTTAAATTATTAATTTCTTCTTTGTTATTCGACCTTCGCGCGCTTCAACTAAAAAATAAAGCAAATACAAAAAATTGTCCTTATATTTAAGCAATAATAAGAAAAAAATAGAAAAAATGCTTGAAATATATATAATATTGCCAATAGATTTTGCTATATAATATTTAAGTTCGCGAATTTTTCAAAAATTAGTTTGATTTATTCATTTTATTTTTTTTGGGCACTTCGTGAAACAAGAAACAACTTTTTTTTCTTAAATTATGTACTTATAAAAAGGAATAATTCGAATTAGTTAAAACAAGAAACAAATCAACTAAAATTAATATTAAAATTAAAATTGTGTGCCCTTCGAAAGATAATACTATACAGAAATTAAATTTAAAACTAAACTGCAATCTTTCAATTCAATTAACTTCATAGTTCAAAACCCGCAAAGATAAGTAAGAAAAAAAATATATATATATAGAAATTAAATACAAAAATTTCGTTAAATTTTGAAAACACTCAAAAAATGGCAAAAAAAAACTTTTAGCAAATAAAAGTGACATTTGAGAGCAAATTGTGTAGATCTTGAAAAATGGAATATATAATATATAAAAAATTTTATTTTCAAAAGAACAGATATATACATATAGATATAGATTAAAAGTATTTTTTTGTCGAATTGGTGCATTTGTTTTATCCTTAGTTAGCTTTCACTGTAAGCAATCATATATAAGATAGAAATGATCTGGCAACGCTTGTCTAGTCGCTGCACGTTCAAATTGTCTTTTGAAAACCGGAAGAGTGTTTCAAATATTCGATTCTACGAATTGCCAATGAGAGCTTACAGGTGTGTGTGTTTGTTCAAGTCTCTCTCTCCCCCTCTCTTTCTGTGTCATTCTTGCTTATTCGTTTGATCGCTCTCGAAACTCTCCCTAATTTGTGCGCTCTTTATTGGCACGCCAACGCTTACGCCAACGCCGGGCCAATATTCCAAGCGGCTAACCTTCAGCCCAACTTCGAAATTGTCGCAGCCACAGCAGCAGCAGCAGCAGCAACAACAACAACAACAACAACAGCAACGAGAGTTGCAGAATGCTTTCGCTCTCTTGCTCTATAAGAAAAAACCTGATGAGGCGCAGCAACAGAAACAACAACAACAACATTCAATGGCCAGTGTTGGACATTACATGACAACAGCGTAAGCTCGCTCGTTCGCTCACTCGCTCTCACTCTCTCACACTCGCCGTCTGTCTCTTCCAATGAAATGAATGGCGGGCTGAGCAGATGGACCGCAAAAGGCGAGCTAGTTGTGAATGTGATTTGCGGGCGGGGCGCGGGCGCAGGCGCAAGCGTGCGCGCGAGCTCGATCGCCAATACCAATTTGGCTGCCAACAACAACAACAGCAGCTAACAGCTAACAGCTCGCAGCTAGCAGCCAGCGAGCAGCAGGTAGATCAGTTGTGAATCTGGCACGGACGGACGACAACAAACCATTTAGCTTGGCTCGGAGCAACGCGCAACTCGCAAAAAAATAACACAAAAACGAAAAGCAAAAACAAAACAACAACAAAAAAAAAAAAACGTTTTGCGCGCCTCCTCCAAAACGTACGTGTGTATTAGTGTATCGATATTTATACAATATGTGTGTGTGTGTGTGTGTGTGTGTGTGTCGCCGTGTCGCGTTGCCCAGTTGCAATGTTTGTTTTTGTTTTGTGGCTGCGCGCGGCAAAAAAACAACAAAACACGCCCTGCTAATATAGCCTTACACACACGTGTGTGTGTGTGTGTGTGTACATATATGTGTGTGTTCGTGCGTGTTAGTGCATTGTATATATCGCATAGCCGATCGATAGATTGCAAATTAATCGAACATTTTTGTGTGTTTTCGCCACCTCCTCCCTAGCGATTATAAAGGGCATGGGCGGCGGGAGGTCGCGTGCCATGCCCCATTGGATAATTTGCTGCATCTGCAGCGCAACGGCGCGTGGAATGCGACAGTTATTTGCGCGCTCAACCGTTTTATTTGCGATTTAAGCAACATCTGTTTTGGCCAGTCAAAAAAAAAAAAAAAAAAGAAGCAATAATAAGAAATAGAGAGTTTCAGCTGCTTGTTATATACTGCATATTTATATATGTATGAACATAGTTAGGCATTTATGTAAATTCATATCAGCTTGACCTTGTCTGGCTGCGTGGGGAGTGCAGCCAGGAATGCAGCTGGAAGTGCGTACACAAATACATAAACATGTACACTTGTATGTATGCATAGTTCACATACATACATATATACATATGTATGTCTATGAAATGCGCTGACATTTTGTTCGCAATGTGTATGTTTGTATGTATGTACACATGTCAGTCAGACAACTGTCCGTCAATTTCCATATGCATATGCTAATGTAAATACGTATGTATGTATGTATATGTATCCCATGTATAAGCAATTCTTTTATATAATTTACTGTGTGTGTGGGACGTTTCAAACTAAGTCGCGCAAATAACTCGCTCATTTCGTCATTTCCAGCGGCTGTCAATAAATAAATAAATATCAGTTATATTTGTGCACAAACATATACACACACATACACACACACACACATAGCCGTGCACAGTTCCATATGTAAATATGTATTAAGCATCGCCTTGGAAATTTCAGTGTCGTAAAAATCCTCCAAAAACGCTTTTTCGTTTCAACTATTTTTGCTGTGTGGTGGGCGGCCAAATTGTTTTTTTTTTCTTTTTTTTTCAAGATTGAGCCAAATACGTCAAACTCATTTTGACCAAAAGCGAGTTTTTTCTTTGCGAGTGGGCGCCAAGAAACAAAAAGCAGCGCAGCAATTACACAGAGTCAAGAACGTGAATGCCATTTTTGGGGGATTTACCTACATAGCTAAAAGTTTTGATAGCTTTGAACGCTGTGCGGCAGGATCGTTACATAACCTCAATATAATGTGAAGAAGAAGATGAAGAAATAACAGCAAACTAAACAGTTATTAAGCGCATGCGTTGCCTCACCGAAGACAACAACCAGAGCTTTTGGCAGGCGTCGCCTAAAAGTAGGCAAGGGAAATTAGTCAAATCAAAAGTGCAGCCAACTGCAAGTACAGTGAAAGGTCGCTAACGTGAATAAATTTGAAACATATTTAATTAAAATCGTGCATATTAAAGCTTCTTCGGGCAATGTTTCCTAAAGTGTAGTTAGACGCAAGTAGAGTGAAAGTTCGTTAAAGCGAACTAATACTTAATGTACAAATATAACAATAAATATTTAATATAATATATGCATAAAAAAACATAAAATATAAAAAATTAATGTACAAAAAATTAATGTACAAACATTTTTTTAGTTTTTTTTTTTTTAATTTTGCAAAATAGGTGCTTAAAAATATGTAAATGAAAGTTTGGTGCTAAAAGGAGACTTAGAACGGCTTAGGCAGGGGCGCTGACAGAGAGAGTGGGAGATAGAGAGGGACTGAGAGCTTTCACTGTACATAGCCACAAAACTCTCCGATTCTCTATCTCTTTTGCTCACACACGCGAGTGGGCGTTGGAGGCGGCATGGCACTGAGCAAGACGAGCAAAACAAAAGCTGGCGCCAAGGAGGAGCAGAACGAACTGGTAAGTGAAACAAAAGAGATAAGACAAAAACAATAACAATAACAAATCCAAGCAAACTCATACAAATACACACGGCTATCTCTCTCTCTCTCTCGGTGTGTATAGAGCTTTGACTTAACAATGGTGGGGTGGGAGAGCGGGCGCGCACTTGGCTCAACGTGCGCGCGCGCGCGCTCAATGTGACTCAACGTGCGCGCCTCAGCTCGGTTCAGTTCAGGTGTAACAAACTAACGGTGCAGCTCGTGCAGCGCCGCAGTCGTCGACGCGCCCTCGTATCGAACACGCCGCGCGCACATTGGAATAGTCCTTTTATTTATTTCGTGTTTTTTTTTCTGTTTATTTACTTTTTTTTTCGTTATTTGTTTGACGTGCGACTTTGAATCGTGT